ACATCTACTTTCGGGCTTCCTGTTACCCTTGCAAGGCTAAGACAAGAGGCACTAGCAAGAAGGATCACACTCTTGGGAAATATCTTGCCCAAAGCCCTGACACACTATTTGCTTCCTGTGTTTCTTTGGGTTTCTTTTAACAAGAGGCCCTCAAGCAAGACAATCGCAAGTATTTCACCTTTATAGGCCTGTTTGGGCCATAAGCCAACAAGCGCCCATTCTGTCTATATATATATAGAACCGTCCAATGGTGCAAAGACCCAAAACGGTCCTGACATGAACCTTTGGCCTTTTAGTCCTAATGACAGAAGTCGTCTTTAGCCGCTACTTGCGCCGGGGATTGGTCCACGGATTTCCCTTTGGATAGTTTTCAAGGGGAACCAATCAAACTCACCCACACCCAAACAGGCAGGTCCGTCAATTTGAGCCACAACCAACACCTGGTTTAGTTGAAGGTTAATGGACAGCCCAATCAAGCGGCTTTCCTCTTTCCTTGTCTACCATAGGTGAGTATTTACCCTCCTGTCCACTAACATGGACCTCCAACAGATTCCATGTTAGTGGACGGGAGGGTAGTCTTCCTTGAACATGATCTTGTATTTGTTCTTTGTGGCTCCATGGCTTTCATTGTGACTCACACCATCTTTTCATTGCCAGTGTTCAGCAATGGGGTGTGCTTGAGGGAACATGTACTCAGCCTGTAAGTTAGCGCGGCCGAATTATAGGGTCGATGATTATCTGCCCTATTGTAGGTGTATCTAACAAGCATAGGTGTCCTTTTTAGGTTAGTTCAGTAAGAAATAGATGGCACCTGTTTAGCTGGGTTGTATTTCATTTACCATCCATCCATTTTTCCAGAAGGTCACATACTGTGGATGGACGAAATCCTGCACCACCTAAGAAATTTGGAATGATGATTCCCCAACGTAAATACCAATAAACAATGGTTTCAACCATGGTTTCCAAGTGGTGCGAAATGGATTTCGTCCGTCCACAGTATGCCAAAGAGTTTCTGTCTTAAACCTTTTGGTCTTTAGTTTCGCATCCGGAGACGTCGCCCAGGCACCACCTGCGCCGCAAGCCATGCCGCCGCCGCAAGCCATGCCGCCGCCGCCGCAGCTCTCGCTGACCGCGGCGCCGTCGGTGCAGTCGCCGTGCCAGCTGGAGAAAGAAGGCTCTGTGAAAAGTCATGTTGAACCCATATCATGGTTGTTGTTGGGAAACATGTTTTTGTATTTATGCTTATTGTGGTTTAGTGGTTGAAATCCCCACTTAACTGCTAAAGTTTACATTTTTGCTCCCCTTCCAACATCAACTAAGATATTTTCATCAGCGCCTGTTTATTCATAGGGGGGGTGTCCATGTCTGGGTTTAGCGGGGAATCAGACCACTTTTGGAGGGGCCCCCACCCCCCTATTAATAAACCGGGGTTGATCAATATGGGGTCAACATTATAAATTATGGACATGTGCTTAGCTGCTATCTTTAACCTTAACTCTTGGGGAAGTGCCGTGTTTTCCCTCTTACCCAGACAAAAGTTTGGTATTTCATGCGCGCTTCAATAGCCACACCTAGATTTTCGATTCGGCTGAACCGTTTTTTTGTACAGAAAGGCGCCGTGTCTTTTTGTCACTCCTCGGCGTGTTTCGCGCTTCCTTCCCCGAAAGCGTGATGGGAAATCGGCAGAAGTCAGCGGGAAATCGGTGGAGTATGGCTTGACATCGGCGGAAATAGGCGGTCATTAATTTTGGTTTGCTGCTTTGTGTATTGCATTTCGTGTTGCGCGTTGTTGTTTGGTTTTGAAGTCTGTGTTTGTTTCACGGTTTCGGCCGAAAGTTCCGCAGCCAAGCAATTCGCAGAAAGTTTGCCGAAAGAAGATCTACCGAGAGTCTCCATGACCCTTCAATACTGGGTCCATGACCCCTTCATTTTGGGTAATGACCCTTTTTTTTGGGGTCAGAAGGAGAGTCCAGGTGTGGGCGAGCCTCCGAGCTCATGGGAAGCCCTGGTCGAAGCCACCTGGACCGAAGACCCGTGGGAGCTGTGCTCTAGGAACCCCAGAAATACTCCCTCAGGAGCTTATTGGGAAATGCCGACACCATGTAAAGTAGCCACTCTACTCCAGGGTTCCTTAAAAGATCTCCATTTTGCAACCATTTGAAACATGTGGCTTTTTCAACAAAATAAGGTTGGAAACCACCATTTACAAGTTGCACTGTTCAGGTGTATAACGTACGGATCCCTGTACTCCCTCACCACCTTTATGGGATATGCAGCCACCATGTAAAGTGGCCACTATGTAAAGGGGCAAAAAGTATGCACTGTGTGTTCCGGCAGCTGTTTTTTTTGGGGACAGTGGAAACCATTGATCATATGGCCGGCCCACATGAGCAATGGTTGGTTTTTCTTTTAGTCTCTCACCAAAGAGCCATCCCCACATCCGCGATTTGTAAAGTGATGCAATCAGATGGGCATTCCCGAATGGCTATTGTTCGACCGTTTTGAAGGAATCAAAGCTCGGGACACCCAAAGTCCCACTTCACGACCCCGCCCCCCCTACCTAACACCACCCCCTGCCAGCCACCCCCTATACCAAACACACGTTAAAGATCCGGCCTGGTTGGATCGACAGTGCGACTTTGCCAAGTTCCCGAGTTTCAGGAAGTAGTAAGGTACCCCCCCAAGCCACCCCCAAAAAAGATAAGGCCTCGACTGACTGGTAGGGTTGGTGCTTGTTCATTTGGGGGGGGGGAGGGTGGCTTGGGGGGGGAGCTTTTCTTCCTGACAGTTCAAGAAAACTTGGCTCAGAAAGAGCTTTCTCCATACTTCGATGTCCCTTGGCCCTTTCCACACCAATCCCTATCAACTTTAAGTTCAACTAAAATGGAGCCCCGAGTGATTGCTGGGGTGCGTTTCTTTCTTGGAGGGACCCGTATGACTTAGGGCATCCCTTCAAGGGCCTGTAGCCTTCTAAAATGGAAACTCAGACAAGCAACAACTTGCAAGTCATCACACCGCGGGGCTTTGCTGCCAGAGGTTCAGCTTGTTGTTGATCTGCGGATGTACCCTTTGTTTCGCCTTGTTTACCCGTTTGCCTGCTTTCCGGCGTATCTTTTCGTCTTCTCCGGTGGATGAGACGGCCAATTCCGCCTCCATGTTTCTTAGATCAGTTCGACTGGTTCCCAAGTACGTAGTGTTGGAGTTGTCGGCGCTCATTGCAGGGGTGTGGTACGAGATCCACAAGCCCTGCAGCTCCGCAGTGCAGCCGAGGGGGGATTGGCGCGCCTATCCCCACTTGGCAGGCAAGGCCATGTTCAAACAGCGCCTCGCCCTCAAACTTTGAGCCTCCCTTGCCTGCCCTGGGTACGGAAAGTGGACAACAATGGTTTGTTTCTTTCGGGATGTGCTGTTGTTGCTGTGGTTTTGGGGTTTGTCTTCTTGGGTTCCCTTTGAGGTCCTTTTGAGTTTTCTTTACCCATTTTTTAGATTTTGTGTTGAGTTTTTGTTGGGTTGTATTTCTCATTGTCTTCCTCGTAGCTTACTGGTTGTTTGCTTCTGGTTCCGTTTGGTTTCCTTTTGGTGTCCTCTTGGTATCCTTTTGGCTTCCGCTTCAATCCTTTTTACTTTGACCAGTTGCTGCAACGGGTGTTAAACCAAACCCATGGAAATGGATGGTTGTGCACTGAAACACGCCAACTTGTTCCATGTCCGTTTCTGAGACCAGTTTCGATTGCGTGCTTTCCGGCCATCGAACTGGCTTCAAAAGCAATGCCCCTTAGCTTACCCGTTCTGTTTCGTGTGTTTTTTGGTTTTGGCTCCCTTTGAAGTTGGGCTTTCAGAAGTTTTTGTTTTGTTTTGTTCTCGGTTGGTTGCCGCTTGGTTTCCGTTCCGCGCGGTTCACGGTGTCGCTTTCATTTGCCTAGGCACATGACCCCCAGGGCAGCGACTCGGACTGCAGTCCGTGGGGCTGGCCAATAAGAGTTCGGAGCGGACGATTTCTAGGTTTCCCAGTTGTGCCCTTTTTAACCCCCTTTTTTGGTTGGGAGGGTTCCCCTACTAAGATAGACTACAGCAACCTCTCTACTGGAGGACCTAGTTTCCATTTGTTGACGGATCTTTCTGCCTATGTGTTCACGAGCTTACGTGGGGGTATAACCAGCTCACCATGATAAAGAAGCTTTACCTAGGGGATCCCTTAATTCAGCTTTTGGAAGTATAGTAATATTGCACACAATCGGTGGACTCTTTTTTTGTTGAAACAGCTCAGATTCTCCACTGGACCCACAAGCAGTTAAACAACTGTTTGCAGAGGGGGCGGTGCAGCGACCAAGTGATTGTAGGCAAAGGGAAACCGGGTTGAAGGGATCAGTTAGTTAGTTTGTTGGTTAGTTACTTACTTAGTTACTTAGTTCGGTTGGTTAGTTCGTTGGTGTGCTTGCTTGCTTGCTTGCTTGCTTGCTTGCTTGCTTGCTTGCTTGCTTGCTTGCTTGCTTGCTTGCTTGCTTGCTTGCTTGCTTGCTTGCTTGCTTGCTTGCTTGCTTGCTTGCTTGCTTGCTTGCTTGCTTGCCTTTTGTTTCAATGGGCAGCTCTTCGACTTGAGGCCATTATCGTGAACATTTTGGCGAGGGAGCCGGCCCAGATCGACCCGCAGTGCAGCTTCGACGAGAAAGCTGGATTGTGAAAGGCGGTCCACTTGGATATAATATATATATATGTATATATACGTACCAGTTGTTTTTTTCCCACAGGCCCAAAACTGCGTTTCACGACTTGTCTTTTTTGCATCCCAGCCGCCTCCTCGTAAAGCAAGGGGAGGCCCTTGTTGAGCCGATTCGCGTGACTCGCACAGTTGTTCTTGGGGGGTAAATTGAACATAGTGTAGAAACCGGAGATTGTCATTTGATTTGCCAATCTCAAATAGGAAATGGCACTCGTTTTCGCACTTTTCAACGTTTCAGCCCACAAGCAGAAAGGCTCCAGACGAGGCCAACTTCCTGCAAATGTCCGCTTTTGATTTTCCCTTTGTTTATAGTCACCCTTGGTAGGTACATGTATGCAATTGTTGTGGCGAACCGATTCGGGAACAGAACGCGCGGCATCCCATGATGGAGGCCCCTACTTGGATCTCGTACTTTAGGTTTTGGAATGATTGTAACATGTGCAGACATATTTTATTCTTGCCCTTGCCACAATTGATGATAGAAAGGCCGAATTATGAGCTGTTTTCCAGGTTTGGGGTGGAGTTTCTTGAACAAGTTTGTGTAGGCTTGACTTAGTGGAACTGTTTCAAGGAACCTGGTTGATCCCTAAACTCTTGAGGACATTCCCTGGGCTCTGTGTGAACTTGGCTGACAAGGCCCTTGCTTGAAAATTGGCCAAGGCAGACTTTGTGAACGCCATCGTGGCTACGAGGAACATTTGGGGGCCGACAAGCACTGGAGGGCCCTTCATCCGAGATTCACTGGTGATGGCGCGCCCTGGATGCAGACTTGAGAGGTTTATGCCGGACCCGTGTTGGTTGGCACTTTGAAGGGAACCAAACTAGGTCCCTCAGTAGTGCCCTTTTGCCCTTTGTTGGGGGAGGGTTCCCCTACTAAAATTGACTACAGAAAAAAGGGTATTCTTGTTCTAGCCTCTCTACTGGAGGACCTAGCAAAGGACAACACATTTTTTTTGGGGAGCCCTATGTTGAAAAAAACTTATAAACACCTGCGCGTGGGTGGCCGCATTGAACTTGCAGGATGCGGAAATTGAGCTTCCTTGAGAACATGTTTGTGGGAGGTCCACAGCAAACTTCGATGTCCAGACAGCCATGCTATTTACAGGCATCTCCTGTCCGGTTGGTCTGCCTGCCTGTCTGCCTGTCTGTTTGTCTGTCGCTTACTCGCCTGCTTGCTTGTCTGCTTGCTCGCTCGCTCGCTTGCTTCTTTCGTTCGCCAAGTTGGTTCAAGCGCCAGTCAGAATTGACACCTCATACTCGTCGAGCGGGGGGTCCCTTCAGTCAGGCTTCCGGATCCGGGTGTTTTGGAGGGTTCCACCAGGGATTCTCGATTTCCAACCAAGCGGGGCCAAAAAGTAAATGCCCGCGCCTGAAGGGAAAGCAAAACTAGGCCCCCAGCTAGGTGCCCTTTTGCCCTTTTTTGGGGAAGGGTTCCCCTAATTACTGAAATAGACTACAGAAGAATAAGGTTACCCTTATTCTAACCTGTCTACTGGAGGACCTGGAAAAGGAGGCGGCTTGGGCATTTGTGGCTGAGGCATGCTCACACAAAAAGTTGAGCCAACCCCATGGCCTTGAGACACTGCAGGTTGTGATCGAGGACGTGCGGCATATGTGCTGGAACACTTGGAGGATTCAAGAAGGATGGGTGCCCAGCCTGACTTGGCAGCTTTGATGAGGATTCCACGCCCCCTACCCCAGGCCCTTCACCCGGTTTCCCGAAAACTAACTAAGGCCTCTCTGCTTACTTTGGAAACAGGCGGACCGGGGTTGGGGAGGGGGTCAGGTTGCATCCTGTGATTTTGTGTGGATTCAACCACGAAGCTCTGGCAATAAGTGGACAATTGATTTGCTCTTTTGGGCGTGGGAGATGTGGGTGTGTTTCAATATAGCAGGCACAAACAACGGTGGTGTTCGCATGCTTTCTTTTGGGTCCACCTTTAAAACGACCCCTTTGGGTTACCCTCAAACGTACACTCCCATGCAACGGACAAGTTCTTTTTAAAGCAGCTTGTGAGGCAGTGCTTTAGCTTGAAGGGTCCCAACTCGGTGCTTGTTGTTCCCTTCCACCAATGAGTTGGGGCCGGACCGTTCCGGGCTTGTTCTGGTCATGTTCGGAGGTTCCGGCTAAGAATGCTCCTTGGGCATTTGTTGTTTGAATCGGTTTTGCAATTGCTCGGGGCACCACCAAGAAGGCGAGAGCTTAACCCTGGGTTCAAGCCACAATGAAAACAATAGGGAGTCATATAACCACCATTGTTTGCTTAAGGCTTGTTATTCAACTTGATGGGGGCAAGGAACCCATAGGGTTAAGGCTTTTGCTCCCACTCAGAGACGCCTTGGCACCGGCACCTCCGGCTTGAGAGCTCTCGGTTTCGTTAGGTGAGGATCAATGAGTTGGACGGGACCATCGAGATGTCCAAGGGCCCTCAAGAGCCCGGAGGACTTCCGCTCAGTGCACGCCTCCTTGGTAGGGTTCCGAACGCCCCCCAGGGCAAAGACTGGCCTTTGGACCCAGCTTGGAGGGCAATCCTTAGGTAAACAATGGTTATGTGAACCCCTATTGTTTAACAGGTGGTAACTGGAGCCTAGGGTTGGGTGCTTCCCTTTCTTTTTTGGGAGGGGGTTCCCTGGTTGGAGACATATGTAATGATTTGCATGAGTCAATAGTTTCCGTCATCTAAGGGAGTACAGGAAAAGAGTGGGTGGGTCCGCATGGAGCAATTCCATGTCAATGTGAATCGCGACAAACATACTAACTCTTTTCCAGAGGCTTAGTATGACTAGGTCCCCCAGTGGTGCCCTCTCTCACCCTTTTTTTGGGGAGGGTTCCCCTACTAAAATAGACTACAGGAAGAATTGGGTACCCTTATTCTAACCTCGCTATTGGAGGACGTAGATGAGTTTTTCTGAAAATACAGGGCCCGATTCCTCCAGGTGGGCTTCTGTGATGTTTGTTGTATTTTTCCCCAATCACAGATGCATGGGCCCAGTCCAGTGTTTATGCTCCTTGTGTTTTTGTTTTTCTGCTGGGGTGTTGATTGCCAACGTTGCTGGATTCACCAGGGGATGTTGGCACGCAAAGGAAACTCTGTTTGAAGACTTGTTTATTCGAATGATAAATGGATTTCCGTGGATTCCATTTCACCACCAGACACGAGTTAGATTTCGGTTGATTTCAGTGGCGGTAGATCATGTTGGTGGGAGGGTTCAAGGTCTCTGCCCTAAAGCAAGAGTTTGACGCCTGGAGGTACTCAAGCATATGCCACAGAAGGATTCGTGGCAAAACTGCCCTTGGCAACAAAAGTACCCTCAAAACCTGGTATGTAAACCATGGCTTACTCGCCTTGTTGGTTATCAACATGGAATCACCAAGGTTTTGCCAATGAACCGAAAGGGGATTCCCTAAAAAGAAAACCGCGAGTTGCACGTTTTACTTCGGGGTCATTCCCTCATTCCCTGAGAGCCAGCAAGTTGTGAGGTGCACAAGAGTCACCCCGGAGGACCCAGTCAAGAGCCAGTGAATCAGGGGCTCTACCAAGATGCTCAGACTGGCCCGACCGTGCCAGCGCAGGCAGGCAGAGCAAGGTGTTGGTCTCACACTCAAATGGGCATGTGGCGTGCTCGGTTGTTTGTTGTCTTTGGAAGATTGGACATTTGCCAACAAGCTACTGCATTGTTTAATGACTGGTTATACCCCAATTGTTCAGAGCTTGTTTCGAGCACGTGTGTGTATGTGTGCATGTGGGTGGGTAGGTGGGTGTGCGTCGGTCAAGTACTGTGATGTTCCCGCTGTATTCACTTATTTTGGCACCAACTTTGGATTGTGTTCGCAGCGTGATCGAAAAGCGGTGGTGCGCTAATCGCTAATCTCGTCACCCTTGTTGCGATGGTCGCTGTCCTGCAAATCCATAACTCAAAGCGATCCTGCAAATCAACATAAAACTCAAAGCGAACCCCAACAAGAGACTCATCTGAAGACCATGGTCATAGGGTTCCACGTTGATGTGCAGGGGGTAAGGGAGTATTGGAATTATTCGTAAGGAAGTCCACGTATTGAGGGCAAGCTGGTTCCAGCGATTGTAGAAGTCCAAGGTTGATTGAATTGGCCCTGAAACATGAACGTATGAGAGTTCATTTTGGCCCGCTTTTGCGGGTTTGACTCCCCAATGACGGTTAGTGGAGTTAGCAGGGCTGCGGGTTGGAGCTTAGAAGGTGGGAAATAACCTTTGCCTGGAGTTTGGCAGGCTTTGACTTTTTGTTGGGGTTGCTTCCAGTTATTGTGGCAAAGGAGAACAGACCTGGATAATTGTAGAAAGTTTCGGGTAAGTAATAGCGATCTCACACATGGGGGTGGTGACCCAGCCCATGAGGAAGGTTCGTTTCATGGAGACCAATTGAAAGCAGGTTAGGCTAGGGTCAACTATTCTGCATTACGCCCAGAGTTGTCTATTTGGGCAGGGGGTCTTGGATCCGTTGATGGCTGGGAGCCATCCCTTAGCCTTTTACCTTTTTTGGTTTTAGTGGTCGTTTTCATTTAAGCCACTAAACGTTAATCTTTTAGCGGGGGATCTGAGGGCAGCCCAGGTTATGTTTGGTTGTTTCATGAGCCGCGTGCTTTTACGTCCCGCTTGCCAAATCCAGGCAGGATTCGCAGGGATGCCGCAAGCTGCACCGGCAGCACCCGCGCCGGCAGGAGTATGGGGCGCTTACAAGCCGGCGACTCACCTGCGTTTGGTGCGAGTCAACCAAGCTGCTGGACATCGTGTTTATCGTGTTTGCCGTTTTTTTCCCCGGATGAGCGTAGCGAAGGCAGCCCGTTGTCAATCGGGGTCTGGCTTTGGGGGGTACTGGGCAAGATTTCTGGCTGGTCGCCGCGCGTGCATTCGAGCGCGTCTGCATGCTGAAAATGGGCTGGTCTGACGTTGGGGATTGTGTCTCAGGCGTGCTTTTGCATGGTTTTCGACGTGCCAATTAGAGACACTGTGAATTCACAGTGAGTCTGGGTAAGATGGATTCAGGGCGCTATGTACCGTGCGGTCATTATTTGGGCAACGTGAATTCGTTGGTGTCCGGGGGAGTATCATTTGAGGCTTTCTTGGAATGCGCATCGTGCAGTCTTTCGCTCGAGTCTCATTTTTGTGTTTCTCTTGCCGGCTGCTTCAAGCTGATCGAAGATAATCATTCTAGCGCTACAAACCCGTGCTGCTGTGAGTTTGTGAACTTTTGTGTTCCAGCGTAGCCCTGCGTGGCGGGCACAACTCTTTGGCAAGGCTGGTCTATGGCGTTTTGGAATATGTCAAGTACAGATTTCGTGGCAGGCGCAATACATTGGGGGAGCATGTCATGAAAGTTGGTAGCATTCGGGAGCTAGGAGTGCCGATTTCGTTGCCGGCTCAATGCGTCGAATCTCATGGCTGTCACAGCCCTTTGACACGTTACATCAACTGTCGCGGCAACCACTTTTGAGTATGGAGCGCCGCAGACGCGGCATTTTCGGATGGAGACTACGCATAGGTGCAAACCATGGTTAGTTTAACTGTTGAATATTTCAATCTGCCTGCAAAGCGCTGCAATGAGCGCTTGCCAAAAGCGCGAAAGAACGAACACCAAACGGGACCAAAAAACCCCGCAGACACAATGGAACACCAAACCGGGCCAACACGAAAATGTGTGCAGAGGCCACCCAGGGGCCTTATGGCCTTTCGATCAAAAAGCACGAGCCAACTGGCGCTGGCCGGGCACCTGGTGTGCTGCGGTGCCGCTCTGTGTGTAGAAGTCACTTAGAGGTGGCTGCGGGTCAAAAATAAATACCAAAAAAAGGGGTACCCTGGCAAATGGAAGCAAGGACTAAAACCTGCGGTTTTCCGGTGGTTTAATTTTGACCCACACCCATGCGTCAAGCGAAGAAGTGCTCTCTGCAGAATTGGCGCTTTCGTTGCTCAGAAGTGGGCTGCAAGGGTGTCATGCAACGATTGTCGTTTGGAAGTGCTTTGCCAATGTGTCTTGGAAGGTCGACTGATGACACATTTGTGTTCGTAGGCTCCACCAGTTGTTTCTATTTTATCCTCGCTGGCCTCGAAAGGCAGATCGACCTTCTTTCTTCTTTTGTTTCTTCTTTTTTTCGTGGCTTTTCCTTTAAGTCGGCCAATGTTCCCAGGTAGAAGCGGTCGGTTGTTGCTCAAGTCAGGTTTTTTTTCACCTGAGGTGACGCAGCCGCCTCCGGCGCCGGCGCCGGCGCCGGGGCCGCTGGGGCCGCCGGGACCTCTGGGCCCGGGGCCGGCGGTGCCATGGCCGGCGAATCCGCAAGCCTTCCAGCGGCTTTGCCGGAGTTGGCAAGTGGTTTTCGTTTTTGTTCTTCCTTTTTCTTTTCTTTTCCGAGTTTGACCAGTTAAACATTGGGTCGGACCAGTTAAGCATGCAGAAGTGCCAAAAAGTTCAGGAGCTGCCTTTTCCACTCGTTCAACCATGGCTTGTTTATGTCAAGGATCAAACTGTGAACCTTTGCCTGGCCCTTTGCAAGTGAGGATGCCCATGCCGGGGCCCACTCCCACCCCCGACGCTGCAACAGATGCCTGGAGCATCCCCACTGCCCAGCAGACCCCTGCCTATCAGCAGCCCCAGCAGCCCCAGCAGCCCCAGCAGCCCCAGCAGCCCCAGCAGCCCCAGCAGCCCCAGCAGCCCCAGCAGCCCCAGCAGCACCAGCCGCCTGGGTTGCAACCAGTAGCAACCTGTTTGCCTTTTCCTTCCTTGCTGTCTTTGGCTCTTTTCCAGGTTTTTCAGCAGTTTCCCAATAAAACCAGCATGTTCTAACTGGGCAAACAAGAGCTGGGGATCACATCTCCACATTCCGCAGCGCACTTGCTATTGCCAGAAGCCCCTCAATGCACCCTCCCGCCATGGTTTGGGGCACAAACCCTTCGGAAGACGACGATGAATCCTTTGAGAAGGATTCATGGGATAATCACCGCTGAGCATGACCGGCTTGCTTGCGTGGCTGCTAAACATGACCGGCTTCCTTGAAAGAGCCCAAGAAAGCTGCATTTCCTCCGGGGGCTTTGGCATTTTTTTGGAATTTTGATTGCCCTTTTCGGGGACTCGCCGGGAACCGCCGGGCCATTTGGATTTATTGTGGGGGTGACGCGACCCCTTCTCGAGTTCTCAAGGCCGGGCGCTTGGGGTGCAAACCACTGGACCACCAACCCGCCAGGCGGGGTCGAAGGGAGACCCAAGACCACGGCCCACATCTTGAGTTTTGACCAAGCGGGCTATGTTTGAACATCCTTCATTTACTTACGAACATGTGTTTTTGTTTGTTTCCCTTGTTTTTTTAGGGAATCTATCACTATGGGACATATGGTTGTTGTTTTCCTTTTCCGACGGTGCGAGCAAGCACATGGAAGATATGTGTTTTGGGCCCGACGGGAGGCTCTGAGGCCGGCTATGCCCCCAGCCACTGCGGCTCTGATGCTCACGGTCTCACGGCGCGGTCCGAGGCGGGGACCTGATTCCATGGCAGTAACGAAGCGAGCAGTCGGAGAGAGTCGTGGCTTGGAGAGCAGGCGTTTGCATCCAACCTTTGGGTGTTTTCACAACACTGGTCTTCATTCTTTGGGATGCCATGCACAATTTGTTGCCGGAAGGCAACCACCAGGGGCTGGAAGTGGCTGGACATTTGTCAAGACCCTCCCTGTTTAGCAAACTGCCGGGTGGTGTTCGCCAGAGTCCAAGATCCTCCACTTGAGTCTGTTCGCAGTACCGGCCGTTGGTGGGTGAGCAACGCGGGCTAGTCCCCACCGCGTGGCTATTGTTCTTCGTCTTCGTTTTGCCTGCTCTTCAACGTGCATCCAGAAAGGGTCCACTTTTTTCAAACAGACAAGACGTTTTGCGGTGGGGTGGTTCTGCAGTTGCCACTGCGGGCGCAACAAGACATCAGCGGGCGATTGTTGCTTTGATGGGCTCACCTGCTAGCTCCCAGGCAACATGTCGTGAATGTCTCAGGTCTCAACTAGGCAGACCCATGTCAGAACCCCCTGTCAGGTGACATGGCGACACGGGAGGGGGGTAAGTTTGACACCTTTTGGATGGAAAGTGTCCGGTACTTGTCCAAGCACAAGCTCATTTCAACCGCAGGGTTTCTCAATGTAGGCCTGCTTCACAACAATGATTCGTTCTTTTGGGATGGTTCCAAGCCCAACGGAAAGCAAATATTTGAATGTCCTTTTCACCTTGCAAGAGAAGTTCTGTGTTGGGAGATTCAGGAGAGTTGCAACCGGTGGATTCCACATGCGTGGTGTCTATCCTCTATGACCGGGCCCCGAACGATTCGCCCCGAACAAGGACAGAGACACGACTCAGATCAGGCGACAACGGGCCCTAGAAAGCTTCTTAGGAACCTTCCAAGAGCCCGCCGCGGCCTAAACAGGTAACCCTAAGCATCGGACCTTTTGGGTGTGGGGTATCTCAAGGCTTTCGAGCACCTGACAAACTGCTTTGAGGTGGGTCTAGTATTTCGCTTGGGGAGTGCTTTTTTAGCGTTACACACAAGCAACAGGTGAGAGGCAAAGTTGGGTCCACGGTATGGGTGATGTTTCGTCAACAATTGCCATGGGTTCAATCGAAATCCACACAGGCGCTTGGGCAACGCATTTGAACTTTGTATTGTTTCTTATGGTTACGTGGCTATTTCTGGGACGGTTTGAGAACCTTTTCGTCCGTTTCACCTTTTGGGCCACTTGAAAGTTGAGATTCCTTTTGGTGGGGTGATGCTCAAAAGGGATCGACATTTTGGGAGCCCTGTGATTCTTGGTTCCGGAACCAAACTTTCTTTGCCGGCTAGGTGTCCTTTGGGGGTGGGCCGCTGCATTGGCATGGGCGGCACCAGGCCGACAAGTGCACGAAAGCGAACTCGATCATTTGGGTGTGGTCGTACTACCCGAGTTCCTGGACTTGATTCATTTTTGGGGGTTGGACCAATTCAGGACCAGTAAACAACAAGCATGGTTACTTTTTCTGGCCAATCCACTCAGTAAGCGAGTGGTTGAACTGACGTTGCGCCCACGCTGACTTTTAGAACCCTTGGCCCGTGTTTTCCGTGGCAAATGAAAGTCTGGCACTTGACTTATTTTGTCAAATGTTTCGGCCTTTTGGTTTGTCGAGTGGTATCAAACAACTCCCACAATCCTCCTCTACTTGGATGACCCTCTAAATAAGACATTGACAAGAAATTGCAGCTGGTGAGCTTCTTAAATGGGTTGTATGACAGGTTCTTTATGTTTCTTGTTTTGTTCGTGTTCTTTTGCCCGCAAAAAAGTAAAAGCCAGGTTGCAACACAAGAGCGGGGTCTATACGTGTCAAGCCAGGACCCCTGTAGGATTTTGCCCTCGTAGTCAGGGTGGACCCAGCTAGAGAGCCATCTCGGCTCATTTGAGCTTGACATGATTTTGGGCAGGCTTCTTTAGAACCGCCGGGTTTTGATCACTGATTTGCTTCCACTCCCTCAGTTGAAACCTGCCGAAGACTGGCAGGTTTGGGAAGGAGGTACTCGATTGAAATGATTGGATCAGAATTAGCCAAGCTTCCATTTTGAGCTGCCCAGATTCCGGTCATCTATTGGGCGCGTCTGTTTTTGGTGGGTATCCTTTTGTGGTGGCTTACCGCAGTCAGGTTGGAGTTCCAAGCAGGGACGGACGGGACGGATGCGGACTTTTTCTGTTAGTCGGGAGCCTTCACCGGCTGAATTGGAGGAGGTCTAAGTCTGGGCCAGTCTTTTCGCAGTCGTTTCCCCTCATTTTGTAGGGGGGGGGGGCAAACCAACGAAAGGGGACACGCCATCCCCCTTTGCCGTGAAGCCGGCATGTGTTTGTTATGAACCGTGCAGCCGAATGCGATCACGCTCGTCCGCCGTTTTTTGAAAACGACGAGCTAACCAAATGAAGACACAGGGTCCCAAAGGCACCGTACTTCAATCAAAAGCCAAAACAAGGAAGCAACCGCCAAACAAAACGCAACCCAAACAGACGGAGAAGCAGTTGCCACGCCATAAGCTCAAAAGTCGAAGAACTGGCTAGCAACAGCCAGTCGACCTTGTATAGTTAATTCAGAGAAGAGTTTGGGGGGAAGGCTCCGACGGGGCGAGGCTCGGATGCAAAATCAAGCAGAAAAAAGAAGAAAAGGGAAAGAAAAAGAAGAGAACCTATTTCCCTCGGCTGTCGCTTGGGCATGGGCATCGGCTTTGGGTTTTCTTGACGATTCGCATCTTTGGTTCTGGTGGAAATGAGTCGCGATTTTGGCTTTCGTGCTCAAGGGGCCATTGTGCCAGCATAGGTCTCCAGGAAGGAAGGTCTCCCACCGAAAGGTTTGGAAGGCTTCGTGGAAGGTCTCTCGAAAGGTCTCCGTGCGAGGTCTCATTAAAAGGTCTCGCAGAAGGTGTCCCGGAAGCTCCATCATCCCGGAAGATCTCCCCGCAAGGTGTTGCCGGAAGGTCTCGCAGAAGGTCTCCGCGAAAGTCTCCGCGGAAGGTCTCCCGGAATTGCCGGAAGGTCTCACCGGAAGGTCTCCCAGAAGATCTCTGTGGAAGGTCTCCCGGAAGGTTCCTCGAAATCCCGGAAGATCGCCCGCAAGGTTTGACCGGAAGGTCTTCAGAACGCAAGGTCTCACCGGAGGTCTCGCAGAAGGTCTCCGCGCAAGGTCTCCCTTAAGGAAATCCCGGAAGATCTCCTCGCAAGGTCTCACGGGAAGGTCTCGCAGAAGGTCTCCGCGGAAGGCCTCCGTGGAAGGCCTCCCGGAAGTTTTGTTTGCCAGAAATCTTCCCGCAAGGTCTCACCGGAAGGTCTGCCAGAAAGGCCGCCGCAGAAGGTCCCCAGGGAGTCCAAAGGCCTGAGTTACGGAGGCCGTTTAAACACGGAGGTTTTTTACGGCCTTTTTACGGGCTTTTTACGGCCGTTGACAAAAGGCCTAAGTTACTCAGGCCGAGGAAGCTCTGGGGTCTCTGTGGAAAGTCTCCCGGAAGGTTTCTCGAAATCCTCCCCACAAGGTTTTGCAGCGGAGGTTTTTTGCAGAAGGTCTAAGGTCTCCTCGCGGTGTCACCGGAAGGTCTTCAGACGGTCTCCGCGGAAGGTCTCCGTGCGAACTTCCCCCACATGTAAGACTTCACCAGCCTTCATGGCTGCTGCAGTTGCACCCACGCCCGCAATAGCCAGACAGGAAAGCGCCCTTGACAGGCACCCCAAGACGCCCTTTGGAAGCTGTTTTTAGTTTTTTCCCGCCAGTCAATGCAATTCAACAAATGTGTCTTGTTTTTTTTTGTGGCACCCAACATGGTGGTTTTCTTGTGGTGTCGATTGAACAAAAAAGGCCAGCAAACGTGTCTTGTTTTAGTGGGTCGCCCCGTTTTCCTTGTGGTTTGTCTTTAGACCAACGAAAATGGGTAGCCTCAAAAAACGACACCCACATGGATGCGACCCAAACTCGCCACAGGACGACGCCTTCTCCACCGCAGGCTTCGCAGGGCGGAGATCGGACATTGATTCGGATGCCGTGAACTCGTCTATGACCGCCCAGGCAGGCTGTGAACTCGGGTAGAAGGATGGATGGGTCTGCCTATTACCTATTTTATAGCGAGCTCAGTAAAGCCAGCTTACCATGGGAAAGATACTTTGCTTCGGGATCCATTATTCCAGATTTGGGAATTTGTAACATTTGAAGATGGGTGGTTTGGATTGACAGCAAATCTGCAAGTTGGCCCAAGGCGCGCTGAGGCTAAGTTGAGCTCGCATAGCATCCTGGAGGCACACAATGACTGTGCGCTTGCCCTGAAAAAAGAAGCATTCGGGCATTCTGTGGGGTGTTCTAAGCTGTCTTGACGTTGTACATCCTTTGACCAAGATCTGTCATGGGGCATTGGCCACATGTGGACTGCACGAATTCTCCCATAGACATGCCTGCTGGCGGCATGTATGCGTTTATGAACTCATCAGAACCCATGTTGAGCCTGAAACGAGGCAGCGGGTTTACCAAAGTTTTAATATTATCACAGCTATCAAGAAACAACCAAATAGTTTATAAAGAAAACAAGATGCAGATAAACAAAAAGTAGAACATGAATGAGATTCAATAATGGTCGACTAGGAAACTATATCACCGTATTATGTCGACATTAATTGCCAACAACAAAGTTCCAGAGTACTAAGTACTCTGAATATCTACCAGGCAGCCATTGTTGATTGTCCATTGACCATCGGTGTTGCAGGTTGGGGTATAGGTTTGGGGTGGGCCCCTATCGGTTTATGGTGGCCATAGTTTCGGTTACTCATGTTGCAAATATACATTTAAGGTTTCATTTCGCCATTTGTTCGCATATATATATATTATATTGGACAAAACGAGCTTGGCTTGAGGTAAGACGAGACAACCATGCTGCAGGTTCTTTGCTTGAGGATTTCTTGGGTCGACCTCCATTGCACTGAGAACGGTAAGATGCGTTTTGCTGGACACCCCTTTGCTGCAAGAAATGTCCCTGACCTCTCGTGCGCGATCGTCCTTTCTTGTGCCCCATGGAGAATCCACTGGACTAGGTCCCCTAGTAGTGCTCTTTTGTGGGGGGGGGTCTGCCTACTAAATAGACTACAGAAAAAAAGGGTACCCTTGTTCTAACCTCTCCACTGGAGGACCTAGTGGAGGTCTGACGACGAAAGCACCCAACAAAAAAATCACGGAGAGGTCGGCAGACACTCGGAGCTGCAGTCCAACGCGAGTTCCATGGATAGCAAGTTCGAGAAGGCGGCCTTCTTCCTGTGGAAGGGCCAGATTGCCGAGAAAGCCAGGACTTAAAGCGGGGTGATGCGCCAGGAATGGAGGCTCAAATGCTAGGGCAAAACCAAAAAGTCGGAAATCTCCCTTCAGAGCAGCAGTTACTATGTTTCGGCATTTTTTTTTGTGTTTGCTGTCTCTTCTCAGGGGTTCCCTTCAAGGGAAAAGGGAACGATATGTGGGTTCCAGATCCAACTTTCCAACACACGTTTAAATTTGGGGTGCCAAACAGAACAAAACAAAACACTCCCTGGGCATTTTGGTGCGAGCCTTGCACGTGCGCCAAGATTGCTCGGAGGTTCCAGGGGGCGTGACTCACCCACAGATCTCCAGGCAGCCATCGCCTAGATTTGGCCTGTTGTGAAGGCTTGCATTGGGCCAAGTTGCCCAGCGGGTTGCTTCCTTTTTCCTTTCTTTTGGGAAGGGTTCCTTTTAAATTGAAAGGCACGCGGCATTTGAGTGGGTTTCGCCAATTTGCCATTGGAACATGGGGACTGACCAGATGCCCAGGTCATTCGGGAGCACAACGGTTCAGGTCATGTCGCGTTCTCTTCACCCCAACAAAAAACCTGCAATCGTGTGTGTCTTTTTGGTTGTGTTTGTGTCTGTGTCTTTGTGTCTCTGCGTGTCTCCGTCTCTGGATCTGTGTGTCTCTGTTTGTCCGTGTCTCTGCGTCTTTGTGTCTCTGTGTCTCTGCATCTCCTCGTCTCTGCGTCTCTGTCTGCTTCTCCGTGTGACGGTGTCTTTGTGTCTGCGCGTCTGTGTGTTTGTTTGCTGTGTCTTTGTTGCGTTCGGGTGGCGCTGACGTGAAAGGCTACCCGTCAGAAGGGAAGCTGCATCGAAGCCACGAGGACATTCCTAGGAGTTCAGCCTAACGTCCCAGAGCTGAGTAAGGCTTCTGCCATTGCTCGGCTTCCCCCGAGTTGGTGTTTGCCCCTAAATGGGGAACCACCCCCAAGCCTCCAAACCACCAATACAAACCACCAACTGGAGACGAACTGGAGGGAAGCAAAAATTGTGGGAATGCTTAGTTTCAAACGTTGTGTGTTGCTTGTGTAGACATTTGTTGCTACCCAGTTGAAGTAGATACATGAAGTAGATATGGTTCAGTGGAATTGAGACAGGGTTGCAGGAGAGCAGAGCCCAAAGTGGCAATTTTAGTAGACGTTTCTACCTGGTTTAACAAGGAGAGTTTAGAGCCACTGGTAGAAACCCGTTTTACAACCATCAAACAAGGGCTTTGTCTGCTGTCTCGAGGAGCTTGCAAGAGCAGCTGATGCGGAGTCAAGTGGCGCCGGAGCATATGAAATGCTCAATTTGCGCGAAGCCTCTTGCCATCTTGAACGTGGCTGCGCACTTCCTGAGCAAAGACCATTTCCTTCAGGCCATGGACTACATTGAAGAGGAGGAGGCAGGTGATGAGCAAGCCTTCTAGTGGATCCAGTTGCCGCCATGGGTGACTAGGATTTTGACCTCCAGGCTTTAACATCATGCTTTCTTTTGGTTTACTATTATGGGGAAGGGGCGCTGGATCCGCTGGATTTTATGTTTGAGCAAGAAACAGAAGAAAGCCGTGAAACATTTGGTGACCGGATCGTGTGGAAAAAAATATATGGGTGTGTCGTTTGCAGGGCACCATTCTTGCGCGGGGGGGTCCCTAAAAAAAGACCGCCAAAAATGTTTGCCGCAGGAGCCGGAGCAGGTCTTTCAGGGCACTCCTTGCCTGAAGTTGAGCCATGTCTCGATGTGTCTCCAGCCCATCGCGGGTACCGGCGATGGCAGTACCGGGGGCGCGGGACAGTGGGACTCCTGCTGAGTCATCCAAAACTGGGGTGCGGGAAGGGTCAGAAGAACCCAAGAAAGGTTGTCCGATACTTTAAATCCAATATAGTCAGGATTGCGATGGTTAACACTTGTTTCATGAATAGCATCATCGAGCATTGACGCTTTGAGGCTTGGTTGTGGCTAGTTTGGGAAGCTGTCCGATCATGATATTGACGGACGTGTCACTGTCTTGGTCATGAGTTTGTGCCGCAGAGGCCACATCGCATGCTAATGGCCAGTTTGGCGAAAGGAGCAGACATGTTGCATCCAATCCACAGCATTCTCAATGGATTGGCCCCTTATGGAAAGAATCGCCCACCACACGTCCCAAGCTTGCCTCACAAGCGCTGCAGACCTTTTTTCGTTGAGATTCCACTGCGAAGGTCGCAGTGCACTGCTCACCCCCAAGAAAGCCTGCTTTTGAGCTTGGTTGTTTCACTTGGTTTTCGAAGTCAGGTTACCATTCTTTCCAGACGTGGCGCTTGCGCCCACCCTTCCGGAGCGCAAGGCGCGGGAAGTTCTCGCCTTTATCTGACTGGAGGTCCGCTTCTGTTTTTGAGTCGAACAGTTTAGACGTCGGGCCACGTGGCTATTGCCGAGCGTGAAGACTAATTCCCAGGTTCCGATAGTCGTTGCGCACGACCTGTTGCCTCTTAGATCCAGTATATTCTCGGCCGGAGTGTATACCTTTCGAACTAATGTCCGACCTTGTCGCGAGTTTCAGACTTCGACGTCAGATTACCGACTCTTACCGGATGCAACGATTTGTCTCGTACTTCCGGATCTCATTGCAAGAAGTTCTTACCATTCGCGGACTTGCTGTCCGACTTCTCCAGCCGGAGTGTTCGTCTGCCTAGGGGTGTGGTAGTATGTTCACAACCCCGTCTTCTTTGCTGCGCTTAGTACAGGGTTTTTGCATCTCCTTTGGGTTCATGCAGGTGCCAAACAGCTCGATGCCGAAGCTGACAACGTCAGCAACAGGCCTACCCACTCAGCGTGGTTCAATGGAAAAGGTGACATGGATTGCGCGAAGCCCGCGCCGCTGGTTTTAGACTGGCAAAACTTCGGCGAGGCTCGAGTTGGCACTCTCACACAGCGACCTCCCCTCCGATCGGCTGGATGACTGCTTTGCAGCAGCGCAAGAGGTCGAACCATTCGCGGCGGACGTGATGTGGCTTCCTCGCGCCCACCCCAAACGGTTGCCCGCAGCCAGCTACACACCCGGGAGACGGACGCAAGAGGCAGCGCAGGCCAGCGCTGGCGAAGGCTTGTGCGTGTGACTCAACTCTTGGTTCTCCGCACACCTCTCTTGAACTGGCAGGCCCGGATGCCTGACGTCCTTGAATGCCAACGCCTCGGGGCTTGCTGCGCGTTCTTGTTTGCGCGCTCAATAGACTTGCGCCGGCGACACCACCCGCACTGCTAGCATTCATGTTAAGCATTTAGGCGTTGTGTCGTGCCAGGTGCCGAGAGCGACGATGCGTCAGCGCAACTCCCCTGATTTCAATCTTGGTGGTCACATAGCCACGCTTGTGCGCAGACCATCGACCCATGAGAGCAGATCTCAAAACGAGGCCAGCGGGTAGATTGCATTCTGGCCCGTGGCTTCAATATCATGTTCCCAAATTATGCTTGCCATGGTGACTGGATTTCTTTACTTGGGATCAATAGGGATGTTCATCTACATGGTAGTAAGGATCCCTAATTCCCACTGTAATGAGATGTAGCCAGGGAACCATATCCATAGACCATAGAAGGAGTTTGGCCACCGCACGCGTCTGAGTCTGTTGAAAAGGCAACATGCACAAGACCTGGGCCACGGAAATTGCGACCACATGGTCCAGAGCTTACGACCACAAAAAGGAGATCCGATTCATTGCGCTCCTTTCCCCCTCGGCTGTTAAAATTGAATGGACGCTTTCGAAGCTACATCCATAAGTCCAAAATAGGACTAGAAAGCAGGAATCTTTTGAAAGGCGGTATGTGAGCTCTTGGGGAACCACTACATCGCTGCCTTTTGAAAATCTCATCGGGCTGCACTTTTCGGTTTAAGCAACAAGGTGAGCAACAAGGCGTCCAACAGGATGCAAACTCATCAAGGACTAACCGGTTGGTGTCTTTTGACTACCAGGGTCCGTGCCCGTGCCCGCGGACAGTCCCAAGCATATCAGTCAGGCTGGTAAGCTATTTGACACCCGGTTTTATGATTCGCAAATGCAGTCCCAGCTTGGGATTGCCTTGGATCCGTTTAGCCTCCTTGGGTGAAATTGTCGGGTTTTTGGAGTGGAGACATTGTCGGTTGGAGCATCACCGTTTGCCTTTTTTGCTAGAAGCTTAAAATAAGTGTGTGTGTGTGTGTGTCGTCTTAAACAAACCACTGCAAATCGGGGCAAACAAATGCTGTTGGATGTTCATAAAGTCATGTGTGTTGATCAGCCAAAAGTAGGTGCAGCAAACGAGCTGGTTTTGGCCGAGAGAGTTTTCGCCGAAAGAAGGATCCGAGCAATCCCTGGCAGTGTTGCAGTGCCAGCTTAGAAAGTCGCTGCTAGTTCGATCACAGCTCACTTTTAATTGCACACCTTCACAAGTTTCGGTCAAATTGTGCACAGCAACATGAATTGGTCTATCTGGGATTCAAACTCACGAGGGAGTCACTAAATTCCACCCCCACCCAGAAGCACGGGCACCCTGGCTTTTGCAGGTTCATGAAGATCACTTTGCATATTTTGACCGTTTCTCATCTGAGAGTCGCCTGGGCGGCACGCAACCCGCCGGTGTGGGTTCCGCCAATTTAAGGTGACGCGATCTCAGCCTTTTTGTGCATTAGACTCATGCTGCCATCGACCAGGATTTAGGGTCTCATGGAAGCATGCTGGAGAAAAGACGTGGGAGCCGCGACTTTGCAGGGCGGGCGACGAGTGCATCCCGGTTACCCATCTAATGGCTCTATATATATTTATATAGTGGGCAAGCAGCAATTTTCCGTGTTGCCTTCGAAGGGTAGTCTTTTACTTCCCTGCAATTCAGGCGGATGGATCCAGTGAGTTGGAAGGTTCATGTTTTGATTCCCTTGTGTGACACTTGTTACCTTTTTTTGGGCGGGGGGGGCTAGTGGCCCCTTCGAATCTTTAGACATATAGCTTCCAAATTTGCATCAGCAGAGCCATGCCTGCTTCCATTTGCCTCAGCCCTTTAATTAGTGAACTGCAAGGGACGTGGTCACGACTGGCAAACAACAAGACCAACAATCATGGCAACTGAAGCAGAGCTTTGTTTGAAACCAAGCGCGGGTTTTGGAGATCGTCCCAGACCCGCGACGCTCCCTTCGACGTGAGTTCAAAGACCTGACCCTCTCTCCAAAGAACCCCCGCCATCCGCCAAGAGTTGGCAGTTGGGGGCTTAAGCCAAGGCCAGAAAGGCGATTGGGGGATCGTATGGAAATCCCAACGTTGCCGGGGAAACATGGGGAGCACCTTTGCCTAGTCCATTGAAAGGTGCTTTGTAGGGTCCCTGAGGTGTATCAGCGCCCGCGAGGCATTTTGATCGATGCCCGGGCCAATCATTGAGGCGCGGTGCGGTGCTGTCAGGGCGGCCGGGAGACTGTCTCCCATCGAAAACTGAACATGGAGCCCAAAAGAGGCCGGCAGAGACATCGCGCACACACACACACACACATCGGCACTGGGGCGATGTTGACCTTCCACCAAATGTTTGAACAGGGACTGGCCCAACTCTCAGGGACCCTTGTTCTGTTCAGATCTATCCAAGCGTGTCGGGACACACAGAAGGTCAAAGCTTCTGGAAAGGTTGGAGGGTAGGGGACATTCTCAGCTAGGAAACTCGTGTGCCCGGGATGCGTCATTGACCCTGGGATGTTGTTAGACAAGTCCAAGGGTTTCAATTTTGGAATACCTGACAACATGCCCACCACACATTGCGAGCTTTGACCATGGCTCATGAAGATACTCTGTTCTTATTGCAAGACATTCAGCCTGGGCAGATCCTCGCAACTTCACAACTGTTGTTTGTTCGCGACCGCACCCGCGAAGCTGCTTTTCTTGGCCAAGTTCCGATCAGGACACTTCTGTTCTGCCTGGCCCAGATGGATTCTGGGTCAAATGCTGGCGGATGGGTTCAGGGCCACCAGGGGTATGGTTCCGCAACCGGTTAGTTACCTAGGATCCCGAAAAATTATGCGAGGAAGGGGGGATTTTTAAAGGGAAGCCAAACTGAGCACCATTTTGGGGGGTCCCCAAGAAAAAGACACATTTCGATTGGGACATCCCTTGTGTCTGTATCAAGGGGTTGATTAGTGCGTTGGCTTTGAATCAAAGGCTTGCAGTGGGTTTCTTTGGCCCGTGGCAAGCCAGGAGCTTCCGGATGACTATGATGTGGCAGAGAAGGCGCCTGCAGTCGATGTCGTCGTTTCTTGGTGGCGAAGCCAGCCATCCGGTTCCTTAGCTTTGTAGCCTTTTAGGGTTTAGTATCCACTAAAAGGTAAACTTTTAGCGGGGGATCTGAGGGCAGCCCAGGTTTTACAGGTCAAAACCCAAGAATCAAAGAGAACTTTGAACGAGGCCCGAAAAGGGGGGTGGTGGTGCAGGTGTTGATTAGTTGATTACAAGCCCTTTTGGAAGAACAAACCAACCCGTTCAATTTACCAAAATCAAAGGTGTTGGTGGATATGTCTCAACGTGGGACAGTGGCGGAAGCTTCGATGGAGGGTGTTCTCATTGGATGTCTTAAACTTAGGCACCACTCCCTGTAGGTTGGTTTCCTCCGGTATCTCTTTCGACACTCCAAGGGGTTCCCAACATTTGTTCCCATTGGGTATGTTCACCTCGAAAATCTTGGCTCGGCATATCACTGCGTAGTATTCCCAGTATGTTTCGGTCAACAGCTCGGCATGCTTTGCGCTGAGTTGGGGGACGCTCCTTGGGCTTGTTTCACGCAAGTACAAGGGTCAAAGGGGCAAAGCAGAAATGGCACACGCGCGCACACACACACACACCACATTGAATTACTCAAGCTGTTTCTAAGATGGCGTTCACTAGCCTACACCACTACCTATATCTTTTTCTCGCTTCACTAGTCAAAGAGGGGGCCAAGGGAAGCAGGCATTTGGTGAATTCAAGGGAAGGTGGTTGTCTTCCTGCTGGCTTTCCTTTCAACATCCAAAAAGGGGTTCACCATTTAGAGACATGTCCAAATGCCCTCTTGCTTGTCTAAAGCCTGTACCAGCGATCCATATGGGGTGCCCAGCGCCAACCAAAGAAGTGGCACGGAATCATTGAACAGACCGGGAGGAGTGTGTGCTCCTGAGCAGTTGACTCCCGGCCTTGTGAAACCGGGCAAGGGCGGGCGTGTGGATCGTTCAGCTTGTATTGGCTTGTTGCGCAAGCCTTCCACTGTAGAAAAGATTCCCGTTTTCGGACAACAGGCGTTTGGACAACAGGTGCTAGGGATGTCATACTGACCCTTTACCATCTATTGGATTTTTGCACTGGGACACATGCTAGGGATGCTAAAAAGGGGCCGCACAAATTCCTTCAGCTTCCGAGTTTCCCATCGATTCCTCAAGGACCCAGTTGCCCAGTGGTGCCCTTTTTCCTTTTTTTGGGAAGGGTTCCCCTTTAAAGTCAATCAACCAAAAAAGGATGTCGATTCTTTTTTTCGTATGGCCACTGGGAATCTGAGAGGAGCCGACCCAGCCAGCCGCAGAGGAATCTGCTCGAGCCCCAAAAAGAAGCCTCCGAGCAAGGCGCAGCCCTCGCTGCGGCGGGGCTTCTTGACCAAAAGGCCCGGCAGCTCGCTTTCGGGGCGAGGGGTCCCTCCATTTGCTTAAGAATATGATTTGTTATTTTCCCCTGTTGGTTTTAAAGGGAACCTATGACTACTGGACATGTTGTTATCATTTTTTCCAGGGAGCTTAAGCAAATGGAAGGGTTTTGAAACTCGCCCAAACAAGTCTATTGGGAAGCACCGGTGTGTCAAGATGGTGTATCGAGAACCAAGAGATCAAGCGGGGCTCGATACTACAAGGCTCAACGATCACAGACCGAGGGGTGACAATCTACATCCCCTGACGGTGCAACACCAACGCGCAGTCAAAAACTTCCAGACTAAATGCAGTATATGGCGATGCCAAATGGGGAGCACACAAGCTAGCCACACCCCACCTGGTGCCTCATCCCAAGCGTGGGAAGTGGCAACGGAACACTCAGGCACAGCGGGGCTGGCACTGGTGTGAACCGTATAGACACGAGGGTAGGCATAGGGCATACGGGGGAGTGTACCACAACCAATAGAGCAGAGAGACCGAGCAGCGCACAGTGCTGCGGAGCCCAAACGGATGCACACTGCAGTGTGATAGCGTAAAGTGAGAAGTGCAGGCAAGCAAATTGACGGGCAGGCAAGCTGAATGCAGAGCGCTGCCCATGAGATCGGCGGGGCCGATACTACATGGGCAGCAGCTCACAACGCAGGACTAAGGGCAGGTCTGGGTGCCCGACCCTTCACCGTCACCACTGGGCGCAGGATTCGGGGACAGGAGGGAACGCACAACATTGGTGACGGCATTGAAGGTCGGGAGCGTGGGGTCACGCAATAGAGCCGCTGTCTGGGTGCGCCCGTTCGCACTGCGCCGCACGAGCTCCTGCAACGTGGTACCAGCAGGCGCTACATGGAAACTGTCAACAGATGGCAAAATGACATCAGCAGCTTCCCTATCCAGCACCGGAGGAGTGGCAAGCACCGCAGACATCCAACGCTGGGATGACACGCTGGACTCAGACTCCCTTGCGAAGTCAACAAAGGCCTGCCCTTCGGCCGGAAGGGGAAGCCAAAGGTCGGTGCGTACAGAACCAGCCGCCATTGGCCCGATCAGGCCACAGTACTCCTGGACGTGTCAGACCTTGCTGGTTTTGGAGCCTCTGGAGGAGCTGGAGTCGAAACGGTTCAACCTCCGTGAAGCAAGGAGGTTCATACGGAGACCGAAGGCCACCTGCGTTGACAAATCGCATCCCACGCACAGTTTGCGCCGTACCTTTGAGCGAGACCTCGCCGCCTTGCGCAGAGGGCGGCGCATTTGCGCAAAGGTAGGCCATGGCAGCAACCGGGATATGCACCTTGAGGCGGTGCAAGGGCCAGTCAGCAGGACCGGCCCTGCCGTACCATTGAATGACCTGCTCACCAGTGGCTAGGGATTCAGCGCCAGCCTCAAGCTCGACCGTATTGGCCGCTAGGCGCAGAAGCTGGGCATGCTGCCGCGTGGCGATGGTGAGCGCGGCCACCCAGAATTGCGGCTGAGCCAAGCGGTCCAGCATCAGCTGTTGCAAACGAGGCGGAGCGTCTCCACTGGCCAGAGGCTCGAACACACGGGCAAAGCACGTGGCTAGGCTTGTCAGCCATGCTCGAAGGAAGCGGATCTACGCGCATCCGCACCGAGCGGAGGCGCGTCGGCTGCCATGCGCCGCAGGGCAAGACACTGCATGCAATCCGGCCTCCGTGGCCGGGCTGGTGTTGAACATAACGTCGCCCCAAGGGTAGCTGGTGGGAAGTTGGGCGAAGAGGCCGAGTTGAGGCAGGGTGAGGACCTCTTTAGCCTGTACCCTATCCGGGATCCGGGCAAGAGCCCAGGCGAACGCATCCAAGGCGTCAAGGGTCGCAGGGTCCAGTTCGCCTGACTCTGCATCGTCCTGCTGTCCCCGGCCCACCGGGCAATCACCAGGCCCTGGGACAAACTCAATGGCATACCCTTGCCGGCGGGCCTCTTCCGCAGTATCTGGCAGGCAGTCATGGTACTCAGAGCTGGTTACACTTATCCTGTCCACCGCAGCGAGGTGCGGCTCAATTTCCTCATCAGAGACCATCGTGGATTTCCCTCCTGTCCACTACCAGGGAAAACCACCAGAGAGTCCCATTTTAAAGGAAATTAGTCTTTCAGGATCCCTCAGTCAGGTTCAAACTTTGTGCATGGCAGGGTCGTCGGTCGGTTGGTTTCTTTCTTGGATTGAAATCCTTTGTTTGTGTGTGTGGTGTGGTGTGGCGTGGCGTGGCGTGGCGTGGCGTGGCGTGGCGTGGCGTGGCGTGGCGTGGCGTGGCGTGGCGTGGCGTGGCGTGGCGTGGCGTGGCGTGGCGTGATGTGATGTGATGCGATGTGGTGTGTGTGTGTGTGTTGTGTGTGTGTGTGGGTGCGTGCGTGCGTGCGTGCATGCGTGCGTGCGTGCGTGTGTGCGTGCGTGCGTGCGTGCGTGCGTGCGCGCGTTTGGAACCCTATGGCTTTCTTCAAGTTTTTTTGGGGGCCCAACATGAAGGTTCCCCAAAAGGATTGGGTTTGATAAGCTGCAGGGTTCAGTCCTGTGAAGAGTACTTTTGACTTCGCGAAGGAGGTTGTAGCGTCTGGCCAGTGCTTGGGGCTGATACTATGGAAGATGAGCTCGTATGTCCAGTGGGGCCGTGTATTTTGGTGTTGGAGGAGGATGCCATAGAGCTGATCCATTTTGTTTCCCATCGCCATTGGAGGTCAAGGCCAAGGTGGATGTGTTTGCGCAATTTCTTGTGCCAGTCACGACTTGTCCAGATAGTACCAGCTTGATTCTGCGACCCCTAGAGGGGAATTGGGACTGAGTTACTTGTGTCTTACTTCCCTGAAGATCATCTCAGTGGTAAGGACCACTGGACTTGTGTGTGTGCCAATCCATTTAACTGAGTAGATTTTGCTTGGAGCCTAGAGGAAGGGGAACATCCTCTTAGTCTTGATATTTGTTTCTGGATTTGATGTGAAGGCGTTGTCAGACATGGGCAGTTTTGGCTCACATGTCTTGGTTTGTGGTGCCCTGCCTGCTTGGCGTCAACCAAGACCACGAGCCCTGGCTATGAGCCATTTGGCCACTGGAGAGGCCTGGTAAATGTTCAGCCTGTTAGAGTTTAATTTACGACATGTCACGCACCAAAACCACAACTTTTGACACAAGGGATCAACGAACCACTGCGGATTTGTTCTTCCGGAGTGCTTACTTTGCGACTTGCGCTCATGTATTCGAATTCAGGGCACGGTTCCCTCTTGTACAGGAAACAGGCAAGGCTGACTTACTGAGATGTTGCTTTTGATCATGACCTCAGCTATACTATATGCTTGTTAATTATTCTAGGGGTTGATTCCCCATTCTTTTCAAAACCAGCCATTTCTCCAGGGTGTTTGGCGGTTTTTAAGAAAGAAGGATCCCTAAAAAATATGGAAACTGTTTTCTACCCCCAGAATCATCCAGGTTGCTGAATCGTACATTTGGCCTACCCAGACCTCCAGAGGTATATGGGCTGCAAGGGTTGGAAGATGCCGAGAGAGTAAGCATCAGCTGGCACGTCGACCCCCTTCTACCCCTTGAGCGGGTTGGGGGTTTCTTGCAAAAGTTCAGGGTTGCAACCCTATCTAACCGGGTTCTGGGATCAAGGGGTTTATTCCCACTTCTGTGCTAAGAAGGGAATCTCCCGAAGCCCTTTCTGTTGACAGAGGATTCCCTTTTTACACAGCCCTGCTGTCCCAGCTTCCTGTCCAGGCCGGTTTCGAGTCGCAAGTGGCGCGTCGGGCGTCGGCTCAAAGCGTCAGGAGCGAGGCCAAGGAAGTGCCGCAGGCGCGAGCGCGAGGATCAAAGAGACAGTTGGGCAAGCCTAACCGGGCTCCCCAGAAAATTGCGCTGTTTTTGTTTTGTTGAAACCCCTTTTTACAAATTGCTTATTTATTTTTCTAACACCCCGTTTTAAGAAGGTTCTAAGTTCCCCCCCCCCCCAGCCCCTCCTGGGGGCTTTTTTCTCTACTTGGTACGCCCTCCCTCCAATGGAAACTGATAGGAGGTTTTTGGAAGACCAGCTTCCTTTTGGGAAGCTTACCCACTGTCCACTTTCATCTGTCATGTTTGTTGACAAAAGGGCAACCATCCATCCACCCAGAAAAGAGTATGCTGAATCCTGATAGTCACTTATCTCGGGGTGTCCCGTTTTGGTAGAGATGTCTTTGTTCTTCACTGCTGGAACTCCTGATTCCTCTCGGTTTTGGGTTCGGATCTTGTTGAAAGACTCAGATGGTCCACCCCTATGACCTTGTGCCTTTCAACCTCTGTGAGGTCAGACATCTGCCTTGGTTCGTTGAGCCTTGGTGAGTTAAACCAACAGGGGTTGAGGCCGGAAACCCTGACGGCACCGGCGAAACATCCCAGCGCCCAAACTAGGTCCCCCAGCTAGGTGCCCCTTCTCAACCATTTCTTTTTTGATTGGGAGCTTCCCCCACTAAAATAGACTACGGAAAAAAAGGGTACCAACTTATTCTAACCTCTCTACTGGAGGACCTAGCACAAAAACTTCCCTGTAGTGGGTTGCGCAGAGAAGTAAATGTTGAGCCCTTGCAAGGGCTTTTTTTCGAGTCACTGGTCCTCCGGGTTTTCCGCGAGGCTGCACCTGCGACGCCGGCTCCTGCACCTGCATCGGGTGAAGGCAAGTCGTGCGCAGGTCTGCCGGCCAGTAGGATACAAGCCAGTCACATTTGGGTGTGGCTCAAAGTTAAACAGGGGTTACGCATTTTGGTCCATGTTTCCACTTACCAGGGTTGACTTTGGTACCGGTTTTTCGAGCCACAGCCATCTGGATGAAGTGCCATAATTAGGTATGCATAATGTATACATTGGAGGCACATAGGTACATTGCGAGGATTGGAGCTCGGGACTTCAAATGTGGTTGCAACAGGGCTTGAGTCCGTCCAGGATCCCAGTTGTCTCGATCGAGAGAGTTCGACCATTCGATCGGAACTATTCGATCAGAATTGGCTCGGGGGCCCTTGGAACCTGCCCCAAGCTGCGGCGATTTGGTGCTGATGTCCTATATTCAAACTTTGGGAGGACCCGTGGGAAACACAAAAGCTGAGACTTGGATCAGTGTGCGCGGAAAAGAGGTGGCCCACAGTTTGACGACACTTGGATGCAAGGAGGTTTGCCCCCAATGGCGGCGGTAGATGTGCAGACCGCCAAACTTGTGGCCAGCCAAGAGGCGGAATATAAGATGACTGTTGGCAGCTTAGTTTCCCTCCTCAATCAAGCAGCGCAATGGGAACTCTAGTTGAGTCCCCATGGCCGCTGTAGAACACCTGAAAGGTGACACTAGGCCCCCGCTTGGTAAGAGAACTCAAGCTGAGGTGGTCTGGTAACGCGTCTTGACCAAACCCGCGTAGCTTGGGTCATGCGTCCATTTGCGCAGGCCCATGTCGACGGGTGGTAAGCTCGTCCTGGCAGATCGGAATGTGCGGACATGACAATGTAAAAAAACCAGCTCCTGGAGACTGGAGGAGCGTTAAGAACTGCTGGGCAGGGTCCAGGTGGCTGCACCCTTACCATGTCGCCAGAGACTGTTAGCCTACGTGAACAGCCATGTTTTTTTCTTTCTCATAGGCTGCTGGCTTACCGGCAATGAACCCATTTCAGCCCTTCTTTGTTTAAACTGGTCATTCTGGCAAGCAAGAGCGGGACTGCAGTTGCAGAAGGTTCAGGTAGGGTTTGCCTCGCGGAAGCTACCCACCAATTAACATGGAACCTGACGTTTGGGGGTCCTTTAAAAGGAACAAGGTCCAATCCAGGACCCCCCCGAAACGTCGAACAGTTCCACGTTACTTGCTGGGAGGGTAACGCTTTTGAAAGGAAGCCACTCGGATGACTGTGCACCTATTCGAGAAGAACTTCTCCTAGGTCCCCCAGCTAGGTGCCCTTTCTCACCCCCTTTTTTGGTTGGGGTCCCCTACTAAAACAGACGTCCTGAAAAACGTGGGCACCAACTCAATCGAAGCTCTCTACTGGTTCCCCTACTAAAATAGACGACAGAAAAAGTTGGCACCAACTTATTCGATCCTTTCTACTGGTTCCCCTACTAAAATAGACTACAGAAAATGTTGGCACCAACTTATTCGATCCTTTCTACTGGTTCCCCTACTAAAATAGACGTCCTGAAAAAAGTCGGCTACCCTAAGCCCTAACCTCTGTACTGCCGGACCTCGTCTCGTTGGCCCCGGTTTTTTGCCGAGAACACCCGGCAGGTGCTGGATCCGAGGAGTTCGAGGAGGCGCCGCTTTTGGCCGCAGAGGGGACCCCAGGGGCCGAGGTGAACTCTTTGGGTTTCCTTGAAGCACCAGAAAACCGCAGGTTTTAGTCCTTCCATTTACTAGGGTTCACAAATTTGGATACCCGTTTTTGACCCACAGCCAGTTGGCTAAGAATAGTTGTTTATTTTCCCCTGTTGGTTTTAAAGGGTATCGATTTCACTACTGGAATTGTTTTTCTTATTTTTCCAGGGGACGCAAAATGCAAATCGAGGTTTCCCTTCAAATCGGGTACCACATTTCAAAACAATCACGCAGCCAGATATGCGGCGGCTAAATAATTGCGGTACTGTACGCACATGTTGCCCTAGTGATTGCGACTGGATGTGGTCTGCAAGTTGTTCAAGAACTAGTATGGGAGTGCACGGGATTTGTGCACCACCATGGGAAGGTCGATTCAGGCGAGCGAGCGATTCCACCAATTGAAGGTCCATTACGGGCTTTCCTTATTTGGCGAGTCTGCCACTTGGAATGCTTCATTCATTGTTCCAGTTGAATCAGTTTTGCACGGATTTCCATGATGCCTACCAGCAAAACGTGTAGCTTGCTCGTTTTTTTGGCAGCAAATGGTGGGACTAGAGGAGAATCTCTCGTATAGGGTTTGGGCCAAAACTAGAGTTCCTGTAGGTTATTCTGTACCCCGACAAACAATGATTGCCCGGATCTCGGCCCTGGATCGAATCTGTTGCGACTTGTCGTTGCGCTAGTCAATTTCTATAACGCTGCGAGTGGTGCAAACCTCATGCTTTGAGCCGGGACAGCTCACTCCTTCAATTCCAACCTTTGAAACTTTTGAGGCACTGGGAAGACAACTTAGATTGTCCAGAAGGTGTCTGTTAGTTTCCAGGGGGTTGGAAACAAGTGCCAGCTACCATAGTAGGTAACCATGACCCTCTGGTTGCAGGTACATAGATCTTGGTAGAGCTGGGTCTCATTCATGAATCTTGGGTCCATGCACAAACACGGCGTCATAGGATTTGCGACCCCACAACGTTTCCCTCCCCAATCCTTCCTTTCTGGGGGCTACTCAAGTCAATATGTTGATTCCCATGTTCTTTCAAGGTCTCAACAGGTGATGGATCGTTGGTGATTTAGTCCAAGCCCGCCATTTTCTTCCCCTCTACCCTAAACCCGGCGACGTTTTCTTGACGCCCACGGTTTGCAGGCGCCGCTGCAAGCTTTGCGGCAGAGGCCGGGAACTAACTTGGCAGGATTTACACAGGGCTTCCTTTGTGTTCCCTTTTGCTGAATCTAGACATCGCCTCGTGGCTTAACTTGCAGGACATGTTCTTCAGGTGGATTTATGTTTCTAGGTTGGAAATCTGTCTTCGGTTGCACTTTGCGCCTTGTTGAACATGATGTGTCTACAACATCCAGCGGAACAACTCGCGGTTTGGGAGTAATGGGCACCCAGTTCGAAGCTTGACAATACACGATAGTTTGGTTCATGGGGGTTTGGAAATAGCCGGCTTCATGTCACTGTCCTCGAATCCAGCCAAAAACCGCTCGGACGCTGGTGAGCCACCCCCAAATACAGCAATAAATCGGGGCCAAACCGGCCTGGAGGGTGGCGTTTGTGGTTAGGAGGACTACCAGCATAACGAAATCGACAGATTTCTCCATAGTCAGTATGCGAAGAGGATGGGTCCTTTCCCTGATTGTCATTCCCCCGATCTTCCGTTGGAAGGCTTCTCATTTCTCACCCCAGTTGTTCACTGTTTTTTCCTTTCGTTTGGTGGGCTCCCAGCAAACACGGAATCGACCATGAAAGGTGTTCCCGTCTTCTGATTCTAGGTCCCAACTGGGTGACAGAGATCCCATTTCACCCAGCAAAATCGCCCACCAAGAGTAAAGCAGTGTCGTTTTACGAACACTCCAGTTTCAATGGGTCCTTGTCCGGTGTGGGAGAAGGTTCTAAGAACAGCAGCATTTTTTTTCTGACTAAGAACCTGTTCGGGGGTCTTTGTTCTGATTGCAGGCTGCAAGGAGCTGTGGCAGCAGCCCGGCAGCGCGCACAGGAGGCCGGGAAAATGTCTCAAATCGTTGGATCTGTTGAGTTGTTTAGAGAAACACCCGCTTCCTGGGTGGGACCCTATAAATCCACGGCCAATTGCGGATGAACCAATGGACAAGGGTTCATATGAAATGAACGATATGTCAACCTTGTGACCGGTTTTTTTGGCAGCAATTGTCCGGGTTCCTACTAGGGAAGCCATGAGAGCGGCCACATACTGGGCCACATAAGGAAATTTGACCATGCCACACGTGACAATGTGTCAAAAGTGTGGGGAACCCAAAATGGTGACGTTTGATTCTGGTGTTCCTTGAAGTCCTCTTGTGATATTTCTTTCTGTCACGAACGCCATGTGGCGGCCGGAAGGCTGCCAATTGTCTATTGGGAAAACTTCCGCATGTTCGGCCTTTCGTAGAGATGTTTCTTCTCTTCACTCGCTTGCGCTTGGGCGAAAGCTGTGTTTGGTTGAATCGACCAGACTTCTTGGCCAGGATGGTTGACTGCTCTTGATGGAATTCCTTTCACACAGACCTGGAACTTACTTGTTTCCCGTCAACCAAGAAGCTAGTGTTACGCGAAATACACCCTCTCACTCTTTCAGAATCTTTCAGATTGCTACCCGCTCGAAAGTCCCTTAAAACGTTATCAAACAGATTAGTTTGTGGATAGGTCAGGTGTGGAAGTAGACGGGCAAAGCGTCTTTACAACTCTGTCGCCCGTCTTCCATCGACTGTCTCCATTTCTCATCATGGCCTTGGAGGCAGAGGACGGGGAAAAAAAGTGATGGGTAGAACCACAAGGAAACTACAATCCATTTTTGGTACATCATAGTATTTATGTCTTTCATATCTTATCGGATTCTATCTTCATCCCTTCCTCCCTTTAGCCGCTACAGCGAAGAAGCGTCGAAGAGTGGAAGAGATGAAAAATGCACATTCCCTTCGAAGACTCTATTTGCGAAGGAAAGAAGAAAATGGAATGACATCACAGAATCAATACCTAAGAATTTGTTCACTTTGGAATCTCTCTTCCTTCCAGTGACATCTCAGCTTCATACCTAGCACGGATTAATAAAGATACTAAGATAAAAAGAAGAATGGTGTGGCAGATATGCACCAGGTGGCAACCGCGCTGGCTTTTAAGTGTGCGAATAATAAGGGACGTAGTGGCATCCGACACATGGAGCAAGCTCCGTGAGAGAAATCTGCCAGGAAATGGCCCAATCTGAAAGGCACAAAACACCTCGAGGACAACTCCCCAAACAAAAACCGAACGAAACAATATCCCAGACCAAAGGTCTTGGGCATGACCTAAGAAGTTCCCTCAAGACGGTTTTTTGTTATTTGTGTTTTTCGTGCATATTTTGTTTGCCAGTGGGAGGCCTTTCAGGCGTTTTGTTTGCTTTGTAATTGGGTCGCCTTTCAGGCATGGATGGGAGGCCTTACAGGATTGCTCAGAAACAGGCGCATGAGAAACCGTTTGTCGTCAGATCCATGAACATTTTGTCTCGAACATGTGAAGTTTTGGACTAAAACGTTTAAACCACACTTGTGGAAAACCGAAACCCCAAACAAGAACAGCAAACTCAGAGCGTTGGTGTTTGATTTGAAGCTCTTCCTCCTGGTCCCCGCCGGTTGGTTGGAGGCGGCCAGCGCGGGAGAGAAGGAGAGAAAGGCCTTAGAAGTCCAGCTCGCGCCCCTGCAGGCCGGCGGTTGGATCCTGTTGGGTGGCTCGCCCTTTTCTTGGAGTTGGTAGCCCTAACAAGGGGTGGTTTCAAATGGGGAAGGAAAGGAAAACCGGTTGGCCATTTGGCGGGGGGGGTTCCCCATTAGTTAGCCAAATATCCAGCAATTACCTCTCTAATTGCATCAGGAGGCTTCTAAGATTGGTTCGAATCATCTTGCCGGACCCCCTTCATGTGCAGTCCCGACCCTGAGCACGTCCGTGGTCTGTTCCATCCAGAATCGCCGGCCCTTGTGACACCTGCTGGACGACTTTTGGGACGAGAGAACCCCAGCGTTCCAGTGGAAAAGTGGGTCACCAAGGCAGGGCTCCCAGTGGACTTTGAGCGGGTTGGAAGAAACAAAGCGTCCCATTCTGTGGAATGTCCACCCATTTTGAGGAACAACGGACACTATAGCCAGGGCGAATTGTGGAAGGTCCATCATTTCGCGGAAGACGCTATGACGATCCCTTTCCCATCGGTTTTGCAGGTTGAGGGGCATCGGTCTCTGGCGGTCGCCGAGATCCATTGCAGTCATATTATCAGCTCGCACGAGCTCGCATGTCTTGTGGGGAGGCGTGTTGGGGTACGCAATGCTGAGACATCCACCAACCTGTCTTCAAAGCCTTCTGATTGGCTCATGCTTCTGAAACCATGTGTTGATTCCGTGTTCTGCGAAGGGGAATCCGCGTTGCGCGTGGGGGGGGGCCATGTTCTGTTGGTCTCACAGGGCATTTTTTCCCGCCATGTACAGGCAAGATGGCCTACATCTCAGATCAAGGAGCGGCAGGCCAAGGCAGGTGCTTCGTCCGGGTTCTGCGGGGACCGAAGATGAAGGCTTTTTTTGGCTGTTGGGTCCTGAAACAAGGGACCATGCAAAAGCTACTCAGTTGAGGTATCCTGGGTGAACGGTACACAAGCTCAAAACGAGTGTCACAGCTTCCTCAGAGTGGAGGTTGCCTCTTGGAAAGCAAGTGAATCACAATCAAAACCTGGTACCAAAATAGTGAACCCAAAACTGCGTACAGAGATACCCAGGCGGCACCCATTTCTGGTTGGGACTGTCCCTTACTCATCTTCAACAATCTGGGTTTTGACCAACACCCATATATAAACAAGACCGCCCATCACTTGGAGGGGCTAGCAATTTAACCAGGTGGTATGAATCGAATCAACGGCAGAACTTCAAAGGGAACTGTGGCCATCCCCCACAGTTCCATTTGCATCTCAGAGGCTCGCAACGAGTCACGTAAGTTTTTCAGATTAGGTCCATGGTTAGATCTGATTGAGTCACCATGACTCTTGTGGAAAAGGACCACAACATATTACAGTTTGAAGATCCCCGCACTAGGCACTAAGTAAATTAGTCGACCCCCAGTTTCAAATTATGATTGTCATTGTTGTTTGTTTGTCCAATATTGTTTGAAGGATCCGTTGCGTTGGCATGTCATTGCAGTTCCAATCCAGCACCCATCTTACTGCGCAACGCTTGGTGAGCTTTCAAATTTCAACTCTTCAAAGTCAGCCTTGGTATTTTCCTTGCTGTGCCGTGTTTGTGTGTGTGTGTGTGTGTGTGTTTGTGTTCCTGTTGCATCGCCTTAAACGGCACCAGCATCAGGGTTATGGGGTGTTCATCTTTGCGTACCGGGGAACTCCTCTAAACGGGGAGAACTTGGCATTGGATATACCAAGATTTAGGCCTCATTGCAGGCAGGCAGTTTGAGGGAAGCCTCTCTTCTGAAATCAACATGTTTGTGGAGCCCAGGCGTTTAGGGGTGTCCAAGAAGCTTGCGAGGGTTTCTCAAAATGGACCCCTTTTGATTCGCAGCCCAAGGGAAGCCAAAAGGAAGCCAAACTTTTTCAAGGGACCCATTCCGGAATTCCGATTTTGCGAAAGCCCCCACCCCCCTCCATGTCGAATGGGAGGCCAGCAAAGAGATCGACGACGCATTGGCGGAAATGCGCATGAGCATCAACGACGGCAGAAGGCCGGGAACCGTCTCACGGCTGGTCCCTAGCTGACCAGTGGCATAGCACCAGCGGCTACATAGTTGCACAGTTTGTTCATTGTTCTCTCGGGATCGTGACGATATGAGGTGTTAAATATCCCACACTCCCATTCGAATGACTGTTTTTTTCCCTTCTTGGTTTTAAACTCGGCATCTATCACCACCGGACATATGTGTTCTATCTTTTCCCAGTGCGAAAAAGCAACTGGAAGCCTCGGGCCGAGCCCCGATCCGATGCGTCAGGCTCCGCAGCGGCGAGGAGCGCCGGGCGCTGGCGGAGCTCCGGAAGTCTGCGGAGGACGAGCAAAAACGAGGGCGTGTCGTCGGTGGGTTTGTTGGTTTTCGGGTTCGTTGGTTTGTTGGTTGTTCGGGTTTGGTTTGTTGTTTGTTGAGATTGTTGGGTTTGTTGGTTGGGTTTGTTGGTTGGGTTTGTTGGTTATGTTTGTGGTTTTCTTGGTGTTGTTGGTGTTGTTGGTGTTGTTGGTTGTTGGGTGTGTTGGTTGGCTTGTTGGTTATTAGCTTTGTTGTTGTTTTTCCCCAGCTGAAAGCGACGTCCAGGAAGGTTCCGGGATGCATGTGCTGGGGAGATGACCTCAGCTCATGTTTGATAGGTTTGTTAGGTTTGTTGTGTTGGTGTGATTGTGTTGGCTTGCCGAGCTAGGATATGTGCCTGTTACACATGTTTGGGCAAGGAGACAAATAGAAGCTCTTTAAAACAGGCATGCCGCATGGCTGGTGCAAGTATTAAAAGGAGGATGTTGAAAAGCGGAACGGGGGGAATTCGCAGAGTTTCGATCGTGGAATCACTTAGAACTGAGCGAATCTGAGCGACGCAAGTGTTGCATTCCACTGACTTAAGCGGCACATTATGGATAGTTTCCTGCTATTTTACTGGGAGTCCCTGATAAAGGATTTGACTTGGGCACGTAGTTCAGGTTTTGGATTTATTGCATGTGTAGATATCTTTCATATGCTAGCGCGTTTGTTTAATTTGTGTCTCGTGATAGGTATTTTGTTTGCGTGCAGACACCTGAAGCCGATTGGCGCTTGCACTTGACTGCAGGGCCTCACTGCAATCATGTGCAGCATGCCGGAGCCATGACCAGTAGTACATTCGGCATGAACATCTCCAAGCGGCTGTCCTACGCAGCCCACATGGACAGCTTAGGTCTCTTGTTTTGAGCCTAAGTTTCTGCTTGATTGCTGGCTAGAGGATAGTCTTAGATTGCTGCGTGCTCCATCTCAAAGCAGCAGCCAGCTTTCTTGAGCAGCTCACTTACTCACTTGTCGCAAGGTTGGTTAGTTTAGTTGCTTCGAAGCACCAAACAACGCGGGTGTTTGCGGAAATTGCAGATCCTGCCGGAAGTTGTCCGGGCTTTCCCGTGTTCTGTTCCTCTTCACCGAGAAAGGTACCACTGAGTCCAGCATTAAACCATTGCCAGACTTAGCTCATCAACCTTTCTAGGCCCCCCAGTACTGCCCTTTTACCATTTCTTTTTTGGGGGAGGGTTCCCCTACTAAAATAGACTACAAGAAAAGTTGGTACCAACTTCTTCCAACCTCTCAAATCTGGAGGACCTAGTTTTGGTTTTCCTTTCATTTCTTCAATCAAACCAACTGCCAGCGTCGGATCAGCCCAGAAGCCAGGACGTGATGGATCGAGTCCAGAAGGCCGGTGTGTAACCCGGGCAAGATGTGTGTAACCCATGAGTTTTGGTCTGTTGGGAGCCCAGGGGTTGAGTCGGAGGGACTTGGAAATGAGCGGTCCGCTTGGCGTGCCGGCATGGCTTGGTGCTTATCAAACGCAGTCGTGGCCGCCGGAAAAGGCAAGAAGAAGCTGCTGAAACAAAAAACAGGTGGAATCCATGAGGCCCAGCCTTGGGCTTTCATCGCTGGCCATGAGGAAATCAGCAAAGGATGGCCATGTCCCACTTTTTCAACGAGAGCAACTTGGAGGTTTTCAGAAAACAAACGGCCAGTTGAAGTTCAGACCTATGGGATTCATCAGAGGTTGTCTCAAAGTGCCAGATAGCGAGAGACTACCACGACAGTTCGCGTTTTTTGGGACCCAAAGTGAAGCTGAATCCTGCTCAGAAGGTTTGGGCAGGTTTCTCCTCTAAAACTAAATTTTGTAGAGCTCAAGCTCGTTCTTCCTCGGAGGTCAGATGGCGATGCGTCAAAGGGTAATCTTCTTCGGACGACAAATGCAAACTCAAACACGATAAACACGTCAGAAACAATCATGAGCAGCAGTGTTTGGCGAAGGTGGAAGGGAAGAGTTTGAGTTGGACAAGCCATCCAGAACTTTTTCGCAAAGTGATCCTTCGAATTGATACAGGAAACGAGGTCAGCCAAAAGCACCGATAGACTACATTCCCCAAGCGCAACCGGACCCGCCGCCTTCAGAAAGCATGCATACCCCAACTTTGCATTTGTAAGGCCTCATTAAAGTTGTCTGTGGGCAAATGAAATCGCGACATCGCAACAACGGAACTTGGCTTGCGACCGAGTTTGCCCATGCTGGTATCTTTCTCTTTTTGATGAGGTAGATACGCCCATCAACCATCCCCTACCCAGACCCGCAGTGCCGTGGATTTCCCGCGTGTGCACTGCACCAGGTTGCGTCTTGATCATTGTTACTCACTGATGCTCCTCTGCAAATCACTTTTCACATTGAACCCCCCTTTGCCCAAACAAATGAAAGAATCACTACAATCACCAAAACAGCGCACTTTCAGGGTGACCTGTTCCGAAAAAATAAAATCAAACAAACACATGGGCCTCCTTGTGATTCTTAGCCGCTGCTTAATTCCGCACAGTTCCTGGCAGGTGGCGGACCAAGCCAGCGGCCGCGGAGCGGCCGAGGACTGCAGGGTGAAGTTTTGCCGTCAGATGGCGTGCGCGTGCGCGCCCAGTTTTTCGTGCGCGGCCAGGTTCCTCGAGAGGAAAATACGTGCACAGGGGTGTTCCTCAAGAGGAAAATGGTCCTCCAAAACCCTGTCAGCTTCGATGATTGTTGGAGGGGGGTAACCCACTGTTCGAAGGGAAGTGCGGGAGGCCTGTGTGCCGAGGACTTCTGATTTCTGTCTTTGGATTCGATTGCAAGTTCCGGGCCGCCTCAAACAGGCTTTCTGCACTTACAGGGCAGCGCAACCTTATTTTCAAGCAAAAGGAAAAGGTCGAAAAGGACTTCGGACTCTTTATTTGGCTGGGTTTCTCTGGCCGTTGTTCAACCTTCCAGCTAGACAGCGAGTGCCTGATTCTTCATTGACCAGCTATACAGCTTGCAGAACATGATTTTTTCTCCTTTGCCACTTGTTCAGTGTTCATCATGTTCAACCCTTGCTAGGTCCCCCAGTAGTGCCCTCTTACCATTTCTTTTTTGGGGGCAGGGTTCTACTAAAATAGACAGCAAAAAGAAGAAGCTGGTACCAACTTCTAACCTTTTTACTGGACCCACAACTTGGAATAGCTGGATGGGTAGCCAGCTGGGGCAGCGAGGCAGAAAAACAGGAAGCGAAGCAGACAAAAAGGCGAAGCGGGCGTGTGAGTTGATCCAACGTGAGGTACAGTAGCCATTGAGTTTCATTGGATCCAACCTGTCAATTGATCCTAGCCCTTGATCTCCGAGTTCTAAACTTTCAGGAGATCCTGGCTCTCCAACCTGCACAATACGGGCGGTACACATAGAGGTGCGGTAGTATGAGTGTCATCATGTCTTTTTTGTTTTTTAGTACATGACAAACTTGCACATGTGTTTTTTTGTACTTTATATATATATATATACATATCATATATATATATATATATATGTATAGATATAGATATTCTGCCACATACATACGTATAAAGTAACTAGTTCTGCACATATGTGTACACATCTTAACCCCGGTACGTTTCATTGGTTCGCGCGTACCAAGACCGCACGTGGCGGCTGCTTCGTTCCTTAGGACCGCCAGCGGCAGGCTGTGGCAGCCTTCCACGTGCTGCCGCTGACGGCGAAGCTGCGGGTCCTCTTGGGCGAGAAGGCGGCCTGCGATGTCTGCACTTGGAGTTACCGAGGCACCCGACACACACTTCAACCAACCACAAGCTCACCCTTAACAAATGCCTAAACCCACCTCAACGCCATCTTAATGTCAGTTCAAATCCATGATCACCCACAAAGCATAAATCGACCCCAACACCATTCCAAGCCGGCTGTAAACTGCCGCAGACCAAGCTCAAGCCAACAGCTCGCTTTGTGAGGCTGGGGGTGTAGTGGGATGCGCGAACGACTTGCCAAACACACCTGGGATTTGACCAATAACACTGTCACCTCGGCATTTGGAGAAACCTTTCTGTTGGGGCGAACTCTTGTTTGCATACCGTTTTTTTTTCGTTTACAATCACACCAAGGGCCTTCGGGAAGCCACCCTTTTCGAAGGGTCCTATGTGAGGCTTGGTATGTCTGGGTTGCTTTTTGGTTTTCCTGGTCCGTTGTTTGCCCAGTTTGCCTTCACCGGATCTACATGTCCCTGTCAAGCGGTTGAAGCTGCTGTGTTTTTGGTTGGTGCAAAACCCCCTCCCTCAAACACCTGGAGGGTACTTGGAAGGCTATCTTCGTCTTCAAGGGACCCCAGGTGCCACGTGAGTGGGATGGAAAGCCCCAGTTGTTTTTTTCTCAAATCGATTGTCTGCAACTAGGAAGTGACCTCAAAAGGGCTGGTTTCCTTTCGGTCTCCCTTGAAAGCCAGCCAGAAAGGACGCGGACTTCAAATAATTAGTTGGTTGTTTGCAAAAAAGGAAATGACCTGAAATGGGGTGGTTTCCTTTTGCTCTCCCTTTAACACCAACCAGAAAGGACGCGGACGCGGACTTCAACTAGTTTGCCCGCCAGGCCCTGGCAATCCCTCTGGTGGGCGGCGCATTTGCCCTGGGAGCAGCTGTGGTGCTGGGCATTTGCTTGGAGGCCCGCCAGGGGCGTTAGAAGCCCAAGAGAGTAACCCAGTAAGCCTGCCAGAAGTTGTCCGGGCTTTCCTGTGTTCTGTTTCTCTATCACCGAGAAAGGTACCACTGAACCATCGATCCAGCATCAAACCATTGCCAGACTTAGCCAATTGCCTTTCTAGGTCCCCAAGCTAGATGCCCTTTCTCACCGTTTCTTTTTTGGTTGGGAGGGAGAAACCTACTAAAATAGACTACAGAAAAACACAGTTGGTACCAACTTATTCTAACCTCTCTACTGGAGGACCTAGAACAGGCACCAACCGGATATTGGCAGTGGGAAACCTGGAGACACAACGGCTGTGGGTCCCTTTGGCCCCCCTGGGTAAATCTGGACCTGGCCAGTCCTCTCCCTTTCCTCCTTTGGACCCCTTTCTGGCCAATAGGACTGCACTAGGAAAGTAAAAGGGAATTGTATATGTTGCTTTTCCATTGCTGCAGAGGGCCAGGATTAGTCAGAGGGGGTTTTGTGTTATTCCGGGGGGGGGGGGCAGCCTTGAAGAGGTACCCCTTACGATCTTGTCAAACCTCGTGTTTTTAAACATATTATAATATTATGAGAAGAAAGCTGTCGTTTCCGGCCAGCCCAGCCATTTTTTGAGGGCGTCGTTGGTTCGACTTGGCTCGTTTCAGGTCTTTTCAGCCTGGGGCTGCCGAGCCAACTGCTGAAGTGAGTGACGTTTAGGTCCCAAGTTGCGCCAAGAGGAAAATGCCGGCCGAACGTGGTGGTGGAAATCGGGCCGGGCCATGTGATATCAAGAACATGACCCTTGGGTGATAAAGTAGTCTAGGTCCCCCAGTAGTGCCCTTTTACCCTTTTCTTCGGGGAGGGTTCCCCTACCAAAATAGACGACACCAAAATGGGGTACCCTTCCCTACTGGAGGACCTAGTAGTCATGGGGATCATGCCCCTGGTATCTCAAAGAGAGCGGATGGCAGCGGCCAAAGCTTGAAAATCTTCTCGCCATGGAACCCAACACATTGGAGATGTTCAAGTTATCGGTGCTAAATAGCCACCAGGATCTTGTACCCTCCAAGCTATCATGGAAGTGCACAGTGGAAAGGGCCCTTTTGCACTTGAATGTTAGTTGGTGGGAGGCTAACTTTCCCAATAGAAGCACCGAAAGGAGAGTCCCCTGCCCTTTTGCACGGAACCCAAGAGCTGGAGACGAACGCATGAGTTGCCACTCTGCCCCAAATGGCGGAGGGTGAGTACTTCTTGAAAGAAGGCAGGCGAACCTGACGCATGCGCCCGGAGTGACCAAGGGAGACTTATGAAGAAATCCATGGAGGGAGGCTTCCAACATCTCGCTTGAGCACTGGGGATTGGCAGGTTGGCAGGCCCTGTACGTCCCATTTTTTTGGGGGGCAGGTGTGATGGAGCCAAAAGCAGTTCCGTTTTGAAGTGCCTTGACAGTTTAGTCAATTGGGCAACCACCAGTAAGCAAGGGCAAGAGTGCAGGCTGCAGGCATCAAGCCATCAGAGCCGCCAAGCATGAGTGCACAGAGGTCGAAAGCAGCGCCGCTCTTTTTCTGCAAGATCACTGGAGTCATGAACGGCAAACGCTAAGTCTCCCTTGTCGCAAGGCAAAAGACAAACTTCTAGTTGGCAGGGATTATAGGACCAACAAATGCCCACTTCTCTGGGCAGCAAACTCAGCTGCTCAGTAAACTCGATGTCTTTCGCATTTTGAGCGCGTTCCGTTTTCAGAGACGCCAAGTCTTTGGGCGCCTCCCATGGATAAGAGCCAGAATCTCGGGAGCGGTCAATGGGGGCGCGGTGGGCTCATTGAAAAGGCGTGCCACATGAAACCGGGGATTTGCGGGAAGTTTGCTTTGCGGGCGTGTCTTTTTGAGATGGTTCCTTTTTTTGGGTTGTTGAGAACGGAAAGCAGAGGGGACCACATCTTGGGGCACATGTTCAATAATGATTTGTAAAACGGTGACATCCGGAACACAAACCCAAAGTTACCGGCAGAAAATGGGATAGTTACTCACCGGCCAATGTCTGGGACGTTTGAGTATCAACAAAAGGCGCATTTGAGGAATCCCCGGCTTCGTGTTGCCAAAAGTGTATGTGGCAAAAGTGTATGTGTGTGTGTGTGTGTGAGTTTGTTTAAATGCGGCTATTTACGCTTTTCTGGGCTGTTTGCCTAAAGGACACTAAAGCGAAAGCAGCCAACTGCATTGTTTGTTGTTTTTGGCTTTCTTTGGGGGAAGGGAGGGGGAGGGAGGGCGGTACTACATTTTGAGCCAAAGCCTCATGTAACCGATCAAGGATTTTCCAAACTCAATGCTGCACTCCTGAGTACCTCCTTGTTGCGTGGGTTGTTTGTTGGGGGGGCTCTTAACAGCCATTGGACCATACGCTCGTATCTGGAGCCGTAGAAGCCCTCTGGGGCACTTACTTGAGCTCAGGGACTTTAGTCGCTTTGTTTTTGTTTTTTTTGACCATTTCAGCGGCAGAAACAGCGTTTCGCTTGTTGTTGGCCAATCCACTCAGAACAGTACAACCAGGGGTATTCCCTCGGTATATGTCAGCAGTAGGAAGTGTCACGCTACAAATGTTGGCTTGTTGCTCCAGGCAAGACTCGAGTCCAAAGCTTTCGAGCTTTCGGCTTTTGGTTTGCTTCACGGCTGAAACCCACCAGGTCAGCATTGACTCGTGTCATTTGAGGGCATTTGAGGTACCCTGGCTGGGTTGATGGGGCAAAAATCCCATGAGGGCCTATGTGGCCCTATGTGGCACTGGGCCTCCGTGTTCGATCCAAAGGGAAGCCAAAAAGTCATCCCCTTGCCATTTTGAGTTTTGAGGCCCCCAACATGTGGAGACAAAATCGCTTTCCTTCGAGAAGTTTCGACTACCAGGACTCGGTTCCACCTTAGGGGGGTGACTCCCCATTCTCTTCACCTATTCTCGGAAACCACTCATGCCCCAAAGAGGTTGTCATATCTGGAACAGAATGGGAATCCACGGGTTTTCCCATTGCACCCTGGGAGTTTACCCTCCGGGGAATCACCCTAGTTTAGCCTATTCCCGAAAAAAGAAAAGAAAAATAAGTTGGTTGGTTTGAGATTATTTGGGGTAAATTTCCCTAGGGTGGACTCCCAGGGTGTAATAGCAAGCTCCTTAGATAGAAGGGTACAATCCTTTGAAGCAAACGGGGCAACTTGCGAATTGCATCCGCCTAATGAACCACTGGGTGTCCGTTTGGATGCGTTATTTTTAGGCAGGTCATGTATGAAAACGTGACCAGAAAAACACTCCCCGTAGAGTTCCACTGCGTCTTTTCTTTTGCTTGCACCATGGTGACTTTCGGCTGCTGGCGGCCTTTCTGGGTGTGTTCTCAATGGAGGAGCAACCGATGTTTGTTGAGCTTCCTTCACATGTTGATCATGTTGACCCGGTATTTATCAACCCCAGTGTATCAATAGGGGCTGGTGTTCCCCTCCAAAAGTGGTCTGATGTCCCACGAAATCCAGGGACAGCCCAGTAAGAAACTGGTTGGTTGCTTCACGGGTCAACATTCCCAGAACCCATTTCGGGAGACCCGAGGCCGGAAGGCCGGAGAGCGGAAGGCCGACGGCTTTTGGGACTTGGAGGTCGGGCGGGTTTGGCTTTTCTAGGTCCCCCAGCTGGGTTTTCCCCTTTTAACCCCTTGAGTAGGGGGTTCCGCTACTAAAATCGACGTCCTGAAAAAAGTTGGAACCAACTGATTCTAGCCTCTTTGGAGGACCTAGTTTTGGTTTCCCAAGCCCAGGAGAGCCACTTGCTCAAGGGCGAGTGAAGGGACACTCCCAATGGGAGCCGGAATTCGCCTGGAGTTAATTCTTTGCATGGTGGGACGACCATAAGACCGGAAGTTGTGATTAGGTGATAAGGGAGCCAACTCCACAAGTCTCAAACGGGCAAGATTCGCTGGACATTAAAAAACATTGCTACTTGCCTGGACAGGCACTGGATTCCATGGATCTAAAGGCACAGAGCCGAGTGCATGACTTTTTGAGGGCACCCTTTTTCACCTTCACAGCCGCCATGGCTCCCTGTTCGGTCCGTGACCCTTGGGTCTCGAAAAGCCTCGGCTCCCTTGGCTCCTCGAAACAGACGCATGGAAGCCTGGACAGCCCGCCCAGGCGATGTTTTGAAAACCTTTCATCAGCTGCCTTCTGTTCCATAGGACTTGATTTGATTAAAAACGAGAAGCTAGAAAAAGCTCCGAAAAATGATCCCCATCAATCAGGTGCGCGTCTGTTCACCTGCTGGTTCTTGAAAGGTTTGGGGTTAGACACCTTCCAGACGCCTTCCATCGCGTGCCGATGGCTTTTGGGGAGGGCCATATGTTGCGTTGAGAAAATCTGCCTCGCAGAGCGCCCAAGGTCTCGTGACTCGGGATTCCCAAGCCCCTGCCGAAACCCAGGTGAAGGGTACCCCCAAGTGAAGCTCAGTTGTTCAAAGCCGACCTTTTGACCTTTTGGTTTTCCCTTTTTGGTCTATTTTTTTGTAGAGGTCCCAAAAGGTTAACCTCTTATTTGCAGGTCCTTTGGGCAAGTGAGGAAGGGTACCCCACTGTCCTGCTATGTCTGGGGGTTGGTTGGAGACCCGTTTCGGAAAGTATGTCTTGCCGGCAAGTGCTCATTTGCTGCAGACGGTGCAGGGGACCGGGAAACCGAATTACTTGAGAGTCGCGCCTGCAAATCGGAAGAACCCCACAAGAGAGCGCCCAGAAAGCAACCGACCAAATGAAAGGGTTCAACCTTTTGTGAGCAACATTGAGCAATGGGCAGTATGTTGCACCGCGACCTTTTTTTTTGTAAGCAGGGATGCACGGGCTAGTCTACGCAAGTTAGCATTTGAGAGAAGGGGGTCGACAAGCAAAACACGCATCAAAGCGGTACACCTGCTAAATAGTGTAAACAATTGACTGCGGATAAGAAACGATCGGCGCGAGCGGCAGCTCGCAGTCTAGTGTCAGTGGAGGGAGGACGGCGACTTCGCCCAGCTGTCAACAGGAACACTCACTTTTTTCCTGCATGCCTTCGAAAGGGAAAGCATCCAAGTATTTCTCGGCTTCCTGCGTGGAGCATTTGGCAAACATGTGCCCCTGACTTTGGGTAGATGTAGGTGGCCTACATGGAGTGTCTGAGATTGTCAATCAACCCGTTCAATATAGGTGAAACTTGGAGTTCCTTGTGTGGTTGAGTTGTTTATGTTTACACATATCTGCTTCCTTCTCGCTCTAGAGTCCTTTCCCCTCACCCTGCTTTGGGGACCATGTGGCATATGTTTGAACAAGAACAATGGGAGCGCCTCAAAACTTGTTGGTGCGATAGGTAGGGAATGATCTTCCGGGTGTTGGGAATGAATGGGTTTTGGGGATTCCCAACTGGCAGAACGCCGGTTTTTCTTGATCTCATTCCAGTTCTCATTGCCTATCGAACCAGCCAGAAAAGGACCGCACAGCCTATACCCCTAGGCGTCCTTGCCCTATGGAACCAGTCATAAAAACAGCACGGTTTCTTTCAAATTGAACTGGGTTGAAGACGGGTTTCCCGTTTGTTTTCCCACCCATCCCTACCCCTTTACACATGGAATTGGGGGGGGGGGGGGGGTACCCCTTGAAATTCCATTGATTGCCCATCTGAAAACCAGGGGAGTGAAATTGGGACCCCCAGAAGGTTAGGGGAGGGATATAAACCCCCAGTCTCTTTTGCCTCGGTCCCCCCAATAAAGCTTTATTGGGGGAAAATTCCCCTACTAGAATAGACCAAACTGAGGAACAAGTTGGTACCAACTTCTTCTAACCTCTCAAATCTGGAGGACCTAGCTGCACTTCACCGGTGTTCTGGGCGCTGTTCGGCCGCTTTTCGGCCGCTCGCGGCCGCTCAAAAGCCGCTCGGCTCGGAGAGCTCGGGGAGCTCGAAGGATGGAGGCGCTGGCCAGCCGCGTGGGGCGCTTCGAGTCGCAGCTGGAGGCCATCCGCCGGGAGGCACGGCTCGGCAGGGGGGGGGGGCAGGCGGGGTTGAGCAAAAGGTCCGTAAAATATGGGACCATCAGGGCAACCACGCAAAAAATATAATAATAATAATAATAATAATAATAATAATAATAATCATAATCATAATAATAATAATAATAATACTAATAATAATAATAATAATAATAATAATAATAATAATAATAATAATAATAATAATAATAATAATAATAATAATAATAATAATAATGTGCTGTTTGACTTGCAGCGCATGGGAAAAGTTAGCCTTCATCAGTTTGGGGCCCAAGGAAATATTGATCAACCCAGAAACCAAATGGATGATGCTTGCAACAATCAGCTCTTTGCAATTGGGTTCTGCAGCGGACAGAAGTCATCGCTTCTGAGCCTGGACAAGCATTGTGTAGCTACTGGCACTACGTGGTGAAGAAACGAAAGCCTCAGGTGCTTGGAACACAATTTGGTCTTGGGCGGAACCAAACTGCCAAAGAGCACATCTCTGGGTGGACGCAAGACGAGAGGTACAAGGCGGCGTATAAGCACCGCAGGGGGGCGCGAATTTGCGTGGGTGTTGGGCAAAACGCGATCCTATTTTGTACTCGTAAGACAGCCTAGAAAGGAAAGGGAATTGAAACCAATCACTTCAGGTCAAGTAGTGCGAACTGACAAAGGCAGGGCACAACCTCGCCCATGGTGAAGGGTTCCTTCTTCGGGCTCCAAGTTGGGTAGGAGTCAAACAAATTGCCCGCCCCCACCCCCACCCCCCAAAAAAACAAACACCCAAAAAAGTGCCGGCGTTCCTCTCTTGGCCTTCCTTCACACCGATCCGAACAAAAAATGGGAGGGGCGGGGGCGCCTCAGCCCCGCTTTTCGGGTGTCAGGTTTTCCAGCTGCAGGGCCAGAGCTCGGCGCCTTCGGCGCCTGCTTCCCAAGGCCAGGTCGCTGCCGGGGTGCCTGGCTGACGGGCGGACTCCAGGACTCAAGAGCATGAGCTCGTGGTTGCGGGGTTCTGCTTGTTTTCACTTGGGATAGATGCAGGCCGTGTTTTTTTTCTTCTTTTTTTTCTTCTTCGCTTGGGATAGAACTATGATGTTTCTTTTTTTTTCTTCTTGGGATAGAAGTATGATGTGTGATTTGTTTTTTCACTTGGGATAGATAAGTCAGTGCACTTGGTTGAACCCCTGGTTCTTGTAGAAGGTGCATGGGAAACCCCTCCTGAAACACCAAGCCACCAATCGAAGCCTCCAATTGGAGGGGCTGCGGAAGTTTACTTCGTGTACTACTTTCGTATTGAAATGTTTTTTTTTTTTTTTTTTTTTTCGTACTGAAAAAAAGCTGCGACTTTCGAGCTGGGGCTGTGAAAGTGTACTTCGTGTACTACTCGTGTGATGAACGTTCTGAAAACAGCCCTGCGAAAGTTCCGCGATGGGGTCCGCGATTTTTTGCGTTTCTCTCGCAAAGATGGCGGTTTCCGGAACAAGGACTTTCAGACAACCGTCATATGGCTACCCACTTTTCAGGTAGATTCAAAGAGAAGCCAGAAGGAAAACCGCCGTTTTGGTGGTCCCTCAGTTGTGACTAATATAGGTGAGTTGGGATCAGTAGTGCCCCCTCTAAGAAGGGAGGTGTCCAGACTAACATTTTGAGGTCTAGTTCACTTGTCTAGTATTGCTGGAACTTCCGTTTGACTATTGGACATGAGTTTCCACTTGATCTAGTATGGCTCGAGCTTTTCTGGGGCTGCCGGAAGTGGAGCGCTTGTCATTATTGCAGGTGCCTTTATGCATTTTCTCGTGCCACCCGCTTGTCTTTATTTCGGGCCAAATGCTAACTCGACATTATCTTGAAGAGAGCTTTCTGGTTGAAAGAGTCAGCGCCTTCGGAACGGAGAACGCAAGCAACACCTCTCACGCTCTGCTTAGAGTTTTTGGGGAAGAAGCAGGGAAAACTACGCAACCATGTAACCACCCACTGGCTATGGAGTGGACGTGTTCTTCAATGGTGAGGGGCTTAAGACTTAACCTCATAGGGTAAAAATTTAATCCCCCTGGGAGTAGCTAAGGGGGTCGCCCCAATGGGCAGGACCTTGCATCTGGAGATCCAGCTCAATTTTGGGCCCCTTGTTTCGTCTTATTCCGGGTGAAGTGGCGCACTCTCGAAGCCCAAAGAAAGCCGCCGTTGTCTTGGAGTTTTTGTTTTGTGTTGAAGGGAAGCCAAAGGTAAAACCGAAGCCACTCTTGGGGTCCAACCTTAAAAAAGACAGCTGGTTCATGCCCCGCATTTTAAGGCAACACCTTCGCACCATTCCAAGACCAGCTTTTGGGAGAATAGACTGTAACAGCTCCAGGCGAAACACATTTTGGGGGAATTGGAGGGCCCGCTCATGTACCCGAACTGCTACCACATGGGTACGTTTTGCCACCTGGCTTACTTGCTTATAAGTGAATTTCAGAATGAAGCCGGGAAATGCGAAACACGCCAACCTCCAAGATCTTTCTTGCCGGAGCTGGCAATGCAAGAACCCTGCAGTTCGCGGCGAAAGGCTGCAGCTGAGTTGATTGTGGAAAGGGGCCGAAGGTGTCTCCATTTGGACAGACTTATTTTTGTAGGAAATGAGGAGTTTTAGAAATTCATGTTTTTTCTTCTGGAAATGAGGAGTTTCAGAAAGCCATGTTTTTTTTTCTAGGAGAGCCACTTTTGGCTTGACGGGAGATCGAAAGGAGACCACTCAGGCACCCATAATGTCACCCCATGGTTGTGGAAAGTGGATGCATTGGCAGTCACTTTCGGCGAGACCAAGGGAGTCGTATTTGTTGGTCCGTTTGCCTCTTCTTTTTGTTTGTTGGTTGGTTGGTTGGTTGGTTGGTTGATAGATTGGTTGATTAACTTGGTTGCTTGTCTTTTTGTCCGTTCATGGCTTTGTTTGTTTGATTTGTTTGTTTGTTTTCTGTGTTGGCTGGCTGGCTGCTTCTATTAGTTTTGTTGCTTTTGATCTTCTTGTCTGCTAAGGGCCATACTTGCTTACTGTTGTTTGATTGCCGCACTGAGTCCTCTTCCAACATGTTGATGTATACTGGTGTTGTGCATTTAGTTGTTTTGCACAGCAAATATTGCGTGCCACACTTTGCTTCGTCTAAGAGGCCCCAACCCTCAATGAGTGTCTCCTCCAAAGTGATTATGTGCGGTACACTGAATATATGCTCAGAGTTGGATCACTGGCAATCCCACGTTGGTGTCAGAAGGTGGTTTTCAACCCTCGAACACTTCGTCAATGCGTAGACAGCTTGCGCCAATAGTATCGTCCCCGAAAGCTGGCTTGCGGGGAGGGTGTGTCCACGTAACGAGTGAAAGGCCGATGGCTCACATCCAAGGCTAGGCTGGTTTCCGACCAGTAAATTCAGGGATACGGGGTGTAGTTATGGCTGCACCCACGGCAATCTCCTTGTTTCCTTGCCTTTCAAAGTGCGCGGCATGTTGGGAAATGCCCCATAAAATGCTTAAAAGACCAGGTTTTCCTGAAGCACTGATGAACAAATAGTTGCGAGCTCACAAAGGTGTGTGCTTTTGCCCACCAAGCCGCTTGTTCTGGTCTGTCCTCGAAGTCTTGCCTTGGAGTGACACCTACAAACTTCAAATCTAGCCAGCCAAAATTCCCAAACGGGTAACTCACTCCCTGACTTCCTGAGCTTGACACTTGTCGCGAAGATGTTAGTAGCGAGGACCTTGGACTTCTTTTGGCCGATCCACTCGATCCGTGGTTGGCGAGGAAGTCCGGGTTTGGCATCCGTGGTTCGACGCGTCGTCGATGCATCGCTCGGACCCGTCGCGCGGACCGTCGGACCCGGCTCTGACGCTCGGAGCCGTCTGAGTCGAGCGCCCAGCTGCAGTGGGTCCGTTTGTTCGAGCGGGAGTTGGAGCAGCTGAAGCACCAAGCCGAGTCCTATGAGGCCGGGCGATGGATTTTCCGTTCCTCAAGAGAGCTACAATGAAAACCCGGGTAAATGAAGGTTAGTCAGGGACAATCCCAACCATAAATAGCTGCGGCCGCCTTCATAATTCTTCACATGGTTCTGGGTAGACCATTTTACTACCCGGTTTTGACTATGACTCAAGAGTGGATGGACAGAACTTCCCAAAAAAGAAGGTGTTTGATGTCTTTAAAGGGTCCCCCAAGAAAAAGTACGGTTCCACAAATGGGTGATCCTGACGAGTCTCCCGGGGGGAGACTGGATTGAGGATAGCGAAAGCTATCTTAGAGTGTGTTTGTTCTTTTTGGCTGCCCTCAAGCAATCCGAAACTTGCGGAGGCATGGGGCAGATTCTCACATGCCATTGATTCGGGGTAGATTCCTTATCTGGACCTGCCTTATTTCAAGCTTGGGAATTATGGCCCGGGTCTGAGGGTCAACCACATGCGACCCCGTCATGCTTGTTCTCGGGTATGGATCCATCAGCAAGTCTGGGCGAATGAAATTGCGACCTAAGGGGTGCAACCCCCGTGAAGGCTTCCATCACACGAAAGCCCCTTGGTTGGCCAATGATCGTGATTCACCCAGGGTGATTCGCTGTTCGAAAGCTTCAAAAGGTGACTTGGAGCTGCGCCGCACGGGCCCCCAATGGCCCAGGATTCGTGGGAAACTCCCTTGGCACCTTCCGGGGATCTGGGCCAAAGGGGGTCACTTGGCACATAAGGCAAGCTCCGACCTGGGCAAGATACGTCAAAATCGGGGTTGCAAACATCCCAAAGTCGGTGGTTTGCCCTTTCCCTGCACCACATTATACCCTAGGGTTGGGAACCCCATTGTTTTCATCTTGCTGGTTCTCAGCTGGGAATGAGGGAATGACCCCCATAAACCATCCCCGATTAGGTTTCCTTCATTCGGGAATCCCAAAATAGTTCATTCCCGCATTTCTCACTCATCGCACCAGCAAGATAATTGGGTTTTTTTTGGGGGGTATGACATGTTTAGAGGTTGTTGGGTATCCTGGTAGATAAACCATGGCAGTTCTATACGTATACATATATACAAATGTATATATATATATATATGAACCCCACGTTTTTTTGTCTGGTGGTCACTGAACCCCAGGGCAGCAACTCCCGCGCCAAAACGAGCCCTACCGACTCCAGCGCAAAACGAAGCCAGGAGCCGCTGGCGCTCATGGAGCACCGCCTGCAGAGGTTGGAATCCGTGGCGCGAAGTCCCAGGTCTCGCGGGGGAATCGCCCAGGTTTGTTGGCTAGGTCCCCCAGCTAGGTGCCCGGTTTCTCACCCCTTTTTTTGGGGGGGAAGAGTTCGGGACCCTACCAAAGTAGACAAAACTGAAAAGAGTTGGTACCAACTTATTCTAACCTCTCTACTGGAGGACTTAGTTGGATTCATGGAAATCAATCTGCGTTGGCTACCACCGTAGAATCATATGATATGAGTTGGCTACCACCAGGAAATCATATGCGTTACCAACTTGTATGATCCTTAGAATGTGTTTTGTTGGCAGGATTGCCCCATGAAAACCAAATACCAGACATGTGTTTTGGAAGGCTTCTCTGAGAGTCGACCAGCAAAAAGCGGTGCCCGTGTTTTCCCCGCGGAAATTCACTGGGCTTCTGAAAATTAGTTCACGAGCTGACCGTTCCAGGGGTACAACGAGCATGTGGCCAATGATGAACGGGATTCCTTACTTCCAGTTTTCGAATCATCGTAATTTCCCAGAATTGAGCACCCGCTAGAAATGCAGCTTTTGCTAGAATGGCATGTGGGTGCAACCAGACAAAAAAACACTGGCATTTCTCTCCAAAAACTTAGGCTAATGTTCCAAGCAGTCCAAATCAGAACCCCTTGAGGGAAGCAGCCATGACAAGCGCCCGGATCAATCCGAAGGTCACAGATCAGCTTTAGGGGCAATACCCTACCCAATGGATCCATTTACCTGTATAGTAGGCAACCAAGGGAACCACCCTTTGAAAGCCAACAGGGAAATAGCTGGTTACCTACAATAAGTACAAGAGCAACTGAGATCGACAACAAGGGATAATCCTCTTTGGACAGAACGCCTAGACGCGGCTCAGAAAGTGCGTTGAGTTTGAAAACCCGAATGGTCGTTTATTTTCAGGGTCCCTCAAAAGGTCTGTGTCAAGGGTCGGCTCTGGAGAGTCCGGTCTGCATGGAGGTATGGAGCGGAGCACCAGTGTCAAAATGATCTGGACTTGACTGGCCGGGAGAGCTGCAATGTTTTTTGAGACGCATCTTGATGTTTGCGTATACCTCAAGGAGATGGTTTTTAACATGGACATTATTTCTTCGACTGCTTAAATCAGCCAAAAACTATTTTGGCATTTGTTGTTGTGAGGGTTCCCCTGTTGGGGTTGTTCTCGTTTGACACCAACCCATTTTTGAATTTGCTAGCGTGGCAAGCTCAAAGGGCGCAAGATTCATGCAAGAGTCCCTCTTGACAAGTGTGGTTTGCGTGTCAAACGTGGCGGAATATGGCCATCGATTTTGCTCAACCCCCGTCCCCCTACCCCCCCCCCCCCCTTCATGGGGGGTTGACAATGCAGCAACCCTGTGACACCTTTAAAAGGTGGCGCAAAACATCGCGAGGTTGGATGGCCGCATGAAGTTGAAACCGTTGTGGAGAGCCCACTACGTCTTTGGGGCTGGGTGAGGGTTTATGAAATTGTGTAAGCTTATGTAAGCTTAGTATTCACACACACATATATTAATACATATATATATACATACATATGTATGTATACACGCATGCATGCATGAAATCGACTGATGCCGATTCATACTCTCCGCCTTTTGCGGAGTTGACATCAGTCACCCTCCGTAGATGTAAGGCTCTGCCGGAGTCGGGCAGAGATTTGGACGAATTGGCGGAGCTGGTGCTGTCCGAGCTTCCCAGTTGCATTTAGCCGGTTTTTTCCTTGTCTCCAAACGTTGTCCAGGGTTCGTCCGAAACAATGTTCTGTTCCACCCTTCCGGGTGGTTTCCCAGTGGCTTCCCTTTCAAGTTGCCCAAGCCGCCTCAGAGTAGACTTTGTAAGCCTTGCTGAGCGAATGTCGGCCAAGTTCCTCAATACACATTTGTGAGGTTGGCAATTCTCCAATGGCCCCTTAACGCAGACAGACCCATCCCAGGACTGTGGCCACACCGCCGATATGAGTTTCGTTTCTTTTTGGCCGCATGGTCCAAACCTCAAAAGAATGAACAGACCAAGCCACGAGGGTCATTGGTAGAAACTTGTTGGGATCTCTTAATATATGTGCATGGGTACCCTCAAAAAAGGCACCCCCTTTTTTTCTGGGGAGGAATGGCATTTTTGCTTGTGACAGTCGCTCTTAAAGGTCTCTTCTCCCCTTGGTGTTTGCAGCAAGTCCATTTCTCTTTTCCCTGTTGTTCCCCAGCGGCAGCCATGGAATCCGTAGGAGTTCGGGGGGAAGTTGATGTAGGGGCGCTCCCTCCTTAGTGCTGGCGTTTCCGCCTGTCATTTTCTTCCCACCAAAGGCGGACAAAAGGTGATCCAGGTGATAACTAGCAGCTAGCATGTTTCCAGGTGCGTAAGACGGGTGGATTGTCTCCATATTTGCCACCTGCCTTTCTCTTCCTGGGATGTCTATTCCTTCGGACGCCACCAACCCAGTCGCGGTGTTCGCGGTTTTGGTTGTTCGGCCGAGGCTCCAGGAGCTGCAAGCTCAGGCCGGGGCAGATCGGGTGGTTCTCGCCCTGGCACGGTTTTTTTTTTAAGAGGGACATGAAGAGGAAACCACCGATTTTATGGGTGTGATTCTGATTCCCATGTTGAAATACACGGTTTTAACGAACCTGCAGTCTCCTTCATGGTTGGTCATTACCCAACAATGGGGTCATGGACCTATTTTTGTTAAGGGTCATGGACCAGGAAAACACCAAAAGGAAAACACCCATTGGGTCCGTTTGGCTATGTCGAACTGAACTCCCCCCGCCTTTGGATTTTGTATTGCTGCCCCTGAGCTTGATTTTTAGACCCAAGCACCAAACTAACGATCGCCCCCGGACAGAATCGGTTCGAATCGACTTGGTTCTGAGCTGCACCGCAGCAGCTCTGCGATGCGAAAAGCCGCGGTTCGAAGGGGAAACCAACTTGGCCCCGAAGCGATACGCTTTGCAGGAATGGTCTACTAGGTCTCCCAGCTAGGTGCCCTTTCTCACCCCTTTTCTGGTTGGGAGGGTTCCCCTAAAATAGACGAGCGAAAAAAAATGGCACTATATATTCTATCCTCTTTACTGGAGGCCCTAGATGCCATCGATTTTGCTCAACCTCCCCCCCCCCTACCCCCCCCAAAAAATAGTTAAAATAGGGGGTCTGGGGTAGGGTATTTACAAGTTGGGGCTTCAGGGTTCAGGGAAGAAATTAAACAAGCAAACCATTTTGTTCAAAACACAAATAGGGGTTTTGGGGAATTTTCCTAAAATTTCTCAACATTTTTTTACATTTTTTTCATTATGAAACAGTCTAAGATATTGACATTTTCAAGGTTCGGGTTTCAGACAATTTTAAGGCTTTCTGGGGTTTCAAGTGTTTAATCATATTATAAGTTAATATGAATAAACTTAATCTTAATCTCTATAATTAAACCAGTCTATAATCAACCTTTTCTTTTCTAACAAATGACAGACAAATTTATGGTAAAACTCATTATCAAAAATGTTTTTATAAACGACCTTGTCTTTGTTTTTTATATATTGCCATTTCAACATTTTAAGAAAATCCCTACACATCGAGATGCTAAAATCTCTACAAGATACATACGCGTCATTATGATTAAAAAGTAAATTATAATGAAATTGAGTAGCGGTTTCATAATACAAGATTAACCTATTATCATATCCATACTCTTTTAAGGTTTTGTCTAAACCTGTTGTAAATATTGTCCGTAATGACTTTTTCGTCGGACATTTATTTAACCTCGTCATATACCAAATCCACTTATCCATTTCTTTTAAATTGTCAGGTTCGTTTTTCATTAAATGTTTTGTAATGGTGCATCTTTTACAACATACAAAACTCAAAATATTATCAATGATACAGTCAGGAAATATGTCATTTGCTTTTTTGACTTTGTTGTTGTATATCTTACAACCACGGCATTTTACAATTTCTTTTGTCAATTCTTCTCTGATACACTTATTCATTTTTTTTCTTAATATATTAAGGGGTCATTTCTTTAAGTAGTTTTATTTTTTCTTCTTGCCTCTGCTACTTTTTGTGTCAGCGCTTTCTGGGCTTCTGCTCCTGCTTCTTGTTTCCATTTGTTCCCTCGTCCATTCACTACCTCTTGCTATTTCTTCAGGTGACCGACTTCTGCTTCTCGTTTCCATTTGTCTTATACCCCATTGTCTGCCTCTTGCTCTTTCTTCTGGTGAGTGACTTCTGCTTCTTGCTTCTACCTGTCGTCTTGTCCAGAATGATGCCCTTGGTTGTTCTTCTTGTTCTTCGGATTGAATGGACGGTGAGGATGACTTCTTTTCTCGTTTGAATAATTCAAACACACTCTTGTCTTCTCCACCTAAAAATATGTTTCTTAATGACTTTATTTCTCGGCTTTCCTCTTTCTTCTCTTCCTCTTTCACGGTTGATGCTGACGATGATGACGTTAAATGAAGACTTTGTAAATATTCCTGCTTTTCATCTTTTGGTTCATCTTTTGGTTCATCTTTTGGTTCATCGTTTGGTCCTGAAATTGCATTGCTATAAATTTCATCAGCAAAATCTTTTACTACATATCGTGTTGTTTGTGCGTCTGCCTCGTTGTTTTCATATAACTGTGATGTTGGTGCTACTTCATCAAACATATCAGGGAACAATTCATGTTGAAGAACTTGTTTATCAGTTTGAACCCTAGCATTCAATCGTAGTCTCCTATCGTATTTTGAAAGATCAAAATCATCAAAGTCTATATTATTAATTGATTTGTCAAATGTCTGTCTTTCAGGGATAATTTCAATTTTTAATCTGTGTGTCATCGCTTCTTTCAGCATTTCATCAAATGTAGGGCGTCGTCTTAATCCATAATATTTATCAGTCATATTAAATATTATAGAGTATTTATTGTTGGATTGCTTTATGGACGAAGTATTTATTATAAACATTGTCCTCATAATATTTTTGTAGTTTAACCTTCACTGCGTTTCTATCTACTCCTGTTGTATTGTTATATTCATCTAATAATTCTTTGAACTCATCATATTTAACAGCGTTAATTACATTGAATTGATGTAGTTTTGAAATTATACTATCCATTAAACTTCTTGGATTTTTTGCTAAATATACCGGCCACATCCACTTTATACCACTTAAATAATTTTTGAAAATTCGTTCGTCATCAACTTCTTCATTTTCAACATTTTTTTAATTCTATTTCGATTGATTGTTCTTGCATTTCCATTATCTCAGCATTAGTAATGGTTGTTTGCGCGTCATCGTCATCATCCTTACCTTTTTTCAATGCTTCTACTTCAACTACAGGGTCGTCTTCTTCTTCTTCCTCTTCCCCTTCCTCTTGTTTAGTTAACGGTTCTAATTCTGGCATTTCATCAGCGGACACCATTGAATGAATTTCTACACCTTCTGGTATTGATTGTTTTGACACAGCACTTGCCATTTCATCGTGTTGTTCTCTCCAAAGTCTCATTTTTTCAGCAAGTTCTTCTTTCTGTTTGTTTGCTTCCGACAATCTTTCATTAATGAAAGACTGCTGTTGTTTCAGTGTGTCATCAAGTTTAGCTCTTACACTACCACCGTCCAACGACGCTTCTTTCATAACTTCTTCTCTTCTGTTCAGTTCTTGTTTCTTCTGACTATCCAAAGCATCTTTATTATCAAACTGACTACCGTATTGATTTAATCTGTATCTGGTTGCTTTTCTGTCTATTACATTTTCAATTGATGGACGGTTCTCATCTCCTACTAATGTTTCTTTCAATAGTTCATCATAAGAAGGTCTCAAATGTAATTGTGATTTCAATGACCCTACTTTTACCGGTCCTACTGTATTCAATCTATTCATTGATTTAATCATAGTATATTAATTATTTAGAAAAATAAATTAATCAGAGATATTCTTAATCATTTCTTCTAAATGTTTCTTTCTTACTGTTAGTTGTTCCTTTGTTTGTATTCCGTCTGGTGACCGTGTGTTGTCTAATATGTTTCTTATTCTGTCTAACTCTTTTCTATAACTTTCGGTTCTGTTGCTTTCAACTAAATCGTTTCTATACTTTATTAATGCTCCTTGTGATTGTTTCGCTTCCAGTGTGTCCTTCAACTGTTTAAAGTAATTCATACGCGAGGCAACTCCCCATAAATCTGAAACGTCATAATGGCGTTCTACTTGTGGTGCTCTTTTGAATTCTACATTTCTATGACTTCTCATAAGCATGATGTATATATATTATAATTAGATTATTATTTAAAACATTGATGAAGATAATTTGTTTATTTTTTCTTGTTTATCTTGTTTTTTCTTTTGTTTAAGTTCTTCATAATGTTGATTTAATAGTTCTGTTGCTGTGGGTTTCTTAATGGTTTCTTTAATCACTTCTTGCTTAATCTCATTCTTAATTTCTTCTTTCAATTCTGGTTGAATCTTTCAAATATTCTTTTGTGGATTGACTGGTAATAATTCAGTAGGCACACCCTTACAATTCTTAGGATGTGAAAAACGAAGTGATTTAGCATTCATAGATTTACCACATTTTTCACATTGGACTACTTCAATTTCTTTCTTTGTTCTTGGTAATGCTTTTGCTTTTGCTTTTGCTTTTGGTTTGTCTATGGTTTCTTTTGTTGGTTCTTCATTAACTGTTTCATTTTGTTCAACAACCTCATTATTAATAGGTGCTTCGTCTGTTTTAGTTTCATTATTAACATCTACTACCTCAATACTTGTCATATAATATATTCTATATATTTTCTATTAAATTTCTATATAGAGTATATTTAAATAATATCACTTTTTACGAAAAGGAGACTCAGACTAACATTAACCCCATTCAAATTAATTTCATTACCTAATGAATTAGACAACCAGAAGTCTAACTGTTTAAAGCTTCTATTTGACACATCCAAGTAATCGAGAGGGTTCATTTCATTATCAAAGACAATTCCCGCGTGTGGTGCTGTGACTGGCACTTTCTTAACAACTGTGCTATCGCCTGTCCTTAAATTTACTTGATTATAATTAGACAATTGAGAAGAATGAATATAAATATTTCTAATAGGTTGAAGATTAACGAAACCAGAAACATAAGCATTACCATATTGATAAACATTCATTTGATAATTTCCTAAAACTTCATTAACAGACTTTAAATCATTAGCATCAAAACTTCCAATCCAAATATAACTTTCATATATTATCTTCATTTGTTCATCAGTTAATACTGCAAATTGTCTATCGGCATAGTTTGAAGAAATCGTGATTTTATTAGTTTTTACACTGTAAGTAACTTCATAAGTATTTGAGAAATTGACATTATCAACAATACCGTTAATTTTTGTTTTTAATTCTGTTGCCAGTTCTGTACCAGTATATACTCCTTCGTCCAATTGTAACGCTAAATAATGGACATTTGTGTTATCTTCATCTGGAACTAACGGAGAAGAATAAAAGTATAGTATATTATTTAATCCTGACTGTATTGAATACCACGAGTTA